GGTTACGTTTATGTGCACTGTATGGACAGCGTGTCTAATTCCCTTTAGAGTAAATGTTTCAAGTATGATATACACTTTTTTATATCAATTATTAATTTAAATTATGAAATTAAATGATGATGATGATTTATTTATTTGCCGTTGATCATGTACATGAAATGGGCATTGTCATATGATTAATACAATTACTTAAAACGTATTGTCATTTAGGAAGGGACGCCACCAAGGTGCGTATTCAAACCCAAGTATGAGTAAAGGATGGGTGTAGAATGCTGAGAGATAGTTATCCCGACTAATGAAATAGCTGATCTTAGTCAGTAACAATGCTACACAGACCATGGCCATCTCACAACATTCTACACTCATCCCTCACTCATATTTGGGTTTAAATACCTAGGTGGCGTCCCATCTCAAATCGATATTAATAACATGTACATAGCTTTGTTACTGACCAAGATCAGAGCAGTATCATTAGTCAGCACCATTTTTAAAGCTCGACGGTAAGGAACAGCTGGGCCAAGTTTTGAACCATCAAAAAAGCTTCTGACTTTTCTCATGTTCGATATGGTCTATTCTATGACGTCCTCTCGATAAAATCGTCTACTTCTGTTTGCTTCGGGAGGACTAAAATTAAAAACTGGTTTAGTATCTTCTACTTGTCTTACATCAAAACACACTTTAGCTACGCCTGATACAAACATATATCAATATTGTCTTCAGCTGAGGAAGTATGTTTAATCCATGGTCAAAGTAAGACCACGAGCTTTTCAATTTGTTTTTTCAAATGAATCAGACATAGTTAATCAGCGAAAGCCGCTGGCGTAAGTACGTTGAGCGACGCACCCCCGCAGTCTATGCAGATGGCACTCCCTCCCATTCGTTTATCTCATTGTAATAGGCTGGAAAAACTGCACAATTCAGAAAAAGCATGATGTTATGATATGAGCTATGGCAATTAAAATAATGCTTTTCTTTTCTTCTCTTATAACAATGTGAATTGCTAGCTTGTTTAAGTCATGAGCACGAGCCCGCTCTCTTTCAATGCTCAATAGTGCTCAGTCTTGAGTTTGGCATTGCATTTCTAAAATATGTTTAAATGAGTTTGAGTTTGAGTTTGGGAGAAGGAAGGATCTCTAACATAAAAGAATCAGTCAGGCTCTCTAAAATGTATTTTTGATAAGGCTGAAGAGGACATGGTCCTAGAACAGCCTCAGTCCGGTGGGGTTTCGGCTCCCTGGACTGAAACATCACCAAAATAACCAAGCAGAACACGTTAATGAGTTAAAGTTCAGTAGAATTGAACAAAACACAAAACCATAGTAAAATAAGGCAAAAGTAGTGATGTCGGAAAGATCCAAAACCAATCTCGCTGACGTTTTTCACCGTCTCCTGCAGTAATCGTGGCCACATCTTGAATTTATCTCGCGGTCGCGTGGACGTGATTACGTCTCCCGCGGTCTTGGAAACTCGTCACAGTTTTCTGTGATTGTGGCCCAATCTCGAACTTATACCGCGGTCTTAAGAAATCATCATTGTCTTCTGTGGTGACGGAAACAAAGAAACCTTTTTCCGCGATTGCGGTGAACTGTGAAACTCGGACATGGGTGCACTAATTATATCGGTTAATCCCTAATCAATGGTTTTATGCGCTTAACAAGTATAGTCTTTGGAAACTCGCTGTGGGGGTTGCGAGGGTGTTATTTACGCCACTGGCGAAAGCTTTGGATCGTACTATAGACTGGCAAATTATTTGCTAACTAGCACTTGGGGATCTTAAAGTATTTAGTAAATGTATATTTCTCCCCCGATTTTCCAAAGGCGATTTTCATAGTACCTTCACCATGATTCTTTTATTCTAATTCGACCTACTTTCTCGGTATGCAAACATATCACGCTATGACTTAATGTTCTAATCAAATCCTCAGTTTTTTTCGTGCTCTGTGGTTCTTACGCGTAATGCCGGTTTGCTCAATGACATTCCAGTTTTGTTTGTATCTGCTCGAAGATTATAGTGATCGCCTTCTAATCAGAAGTTCAACAATGCGAAAAGTACACATGGCCAATGTTTTGGAACTGGGTGCTGCAGTGATCTTTCGGGCTTTTAATATAATCGCAAGACACACCGATTCTCGATGGTTATAGACATCGCACTTATCTGACATTAATTTTTTAAATTATATATGGTAAAATTACCCTTCTTGCCCCCTAAAAATATAAATTATAAATATTATATTTCCATACATAAAAATATATCTAAATCACCTTATCGACACCATTGACATGTCAGATAATAATTACTGTCTATTTACGTGAAACTGGGAAAAGATAAACAAGTGTCGTCGTTCTCGTTGTCGGGGAGAAGGGGGATAAGCCAATAAACCACCTCACAGGGGTTCCCAGCTTTTACTGCGTCTGGGACACAGAAGGATTTAATGGAATAGCAGCATAAGCAGTTGCCTGTTTATGCTGCTATTCCAGACAGTAGAAAAGAGTGACATCATAATTGGTGCACTCTTTTTGTCAGTTCCCGTCCTTCTCACGATTAGATCATTCAAAGCCGTCTTATGGTTATTCCCTACACTTGTGTTTATTGCTGCTTTTTCCTGTCTCATGTTTAACTACTGATGGATTCTAACGTTTAAATTAGAAGGCTGGTCCAATATATACCGTTAAGTATATGGTATATAGTCAAAGTCAATGGTTGATCCCTTCCGCGGCGAATTGTAAATGCGTTGTTGGAGTTAAAGGCGGCCGTGGTTGTTGACGTCATTGGAGCGTCTGTGTCAAGTAAAACAATGTTTTGTTGGTTCTTGTATACGTCAAGGCACTATGGTGATGGTTTTCAGATACAGGATAGTAAACATTAGTTCTTGTTTATTTCGCCTACCGTATTTACCGCTCTTTCAGTCAAATTTGCCATCCCTGCGTACAGGCGAAATAATAAAACATATTGCACTGTTAGTTAGTACAGGGTGTTTGTGAACTCTCTCGAAAAGATTCACAGGATTATTCCTTGGGTTAATACATGAATATTTTACATTATAAACATGGGTCGCCGGAGCCTCGTTTTCTGTCTGTCTGTCTGTATGTGTTTTTTATAAATAACTTTATAACTCGAGTTTTAATAGAGGTACAAACTTTAAATTTGACACACTTGTGTATTTTAACGTGTTACACAAACATGCAAAATTTCATTTCGTTGACTATAGCCGTTTCAAATTGGCGGCCATCTAAAAATTACATGAAAACCACTAGAGTTACAAAAGAAACACAAGGATAACAAAATGTGGGAAATTTTATGCCAAATCAAATAACACCTAGATCTTAAAGACCGGACAGGAAACAGCTGAGTTATTAGTTTTTTAAATAATTAACAATTTCTTTACTGGCTTTTAATTAATTGTTATTGTTTATTCTTAAAAATCATCTGATCCTTTCTGAATTGTCACAACAATGTAAGACAGCTAGTTGGACAGATGATTTTGAGATGATGATCACATTTTTATTTTGAGTTATTGATTTGTTTAATAATTAATAATTTCTTTACTGGATTTTAATTGTTATTGTCTATTCTTCAAAATCATCTGATCCTTTCTAAATTGTTACAACAATGTAAGACAGCTGGTTTGCCCTAACAACCACATTTAGTTTTTTTACTAGATGGTAAATGTATTAAGTGTCCTATTTTTACCTTAACTATTGAGATCTGTTTCTATTTAGCCTACTTATAACACTCAAAGAAATATTGGGGTTTCAAATTATTTAGTTTTAACGAGTAAAATGCCTAATACTAAAGTATTCAATTGTGGTATGTAGTTGTACTGACTTTTTAATATATGATTCACGTTTGATATGTGATTGTTGTTTTATATATTCCATGATCGTTGTTTTGAAATGTTTCCAGATTTAAATATAACAACAACGTAACACTACAAGGTTGAGTCACTTTGGAAGCAAACGCGAAGAATCCTTTAGTTGTCTTTGAAAGCGTTTTAGGGATGTCACTTACTTCAACGTGATAAGTGATTTTAAAGAAGTTTGTTCTATCTCTTACTTTGGTATAGAGACCTTGCTTATATTTACTGTCTTTAGTTCTTATACGTATGCAGAGATTAAAATATCCACTTACCAAACTTTTATTTCAATTACTAATTATATCGGTTAATCCCTAATCAATGCTTTTATGCGCTTAACAAGGATATTCTTTGGAAAATTCCAAATTGTTACTCTGGCTGCAATACGTTCGAACTCGAATCGTGTTATTTATCTAATTGTTCTTCGTCATTTATATCGCCCTAATAATCAACCCGTTCCTGACCCGTTCCTGACCCGTTCCTTTGCCCATTAGGATTCCCTTTGAACTTTTAAGCATATTATGTATTCAAAGGGACAACGCTGTATGTGATGTTTATTTATCAAGCGTTTCAGCGTTTAATTCGTGAGGCACATTTATCAGTATTATCAGTTCAGTATTATTATTTATTTATCCTACTTCATCCTTCCGCCCATGTCCTTTTACAAAATATCCAATACATATTGTTCAATAATTAACTAACTATTGTGCTTGTGCATACTTGTGCATTTAACTTTGGTCTATTACAGCGCCATCAACAAATTGCCAATTCCACGTTCTAGGTTCTATATCGATATCATACACCTTCATTGCACAATTCTGCGTATTTTACCCAGTCAATATGGTAACTATTGTGCAACTATCCCCACATCCCACACTCCTCACGTCCCCCACATCCCTAACTATCTCTCCCTTCGCCAATCTCGTCAGTCAAAAGTCATCCCACCGTCACGGAAATTCCCATCAATGGACATTGTGCTGTCACACCTACGATTTGCGGTTTTCGGCACATCGATTAAAGACGTTGTCCTAGTCTAGTATTGGTTTAGGAGGGTTGCGTCACCGCCATATTGATTGGACGAGCGCGCGCCGCCATTGGCTACGTTCGCGACCTTTCCCGCACGCAGGCGCGAGCGAGTTCGTCCTTCTTCAGGACGAAGACTCTTCAGATCCGCGAAACTCACGTCGGTAAATTCGTAAGTGATATTGTTGTGATGTCGTGGTTGTGGGCCTTCTGATCGTCAGTAAGTGCGGCAAGTTCTGTTTGCCGCTGCCAGGACGCTTTTTGCACTTCCACCCTAGTGAGTATGCATGTTGGATACAGCTGTCGAAATCGTTGGGTTCTTTTTGATAAGATGAGTTTTTCTGGTTTATTTAATTTTGTGTAGTGTAGTGAGGGGTTTTCTACTAAAATTTTCATTTCATAAATTACTTTGGTCTATTAGCTATTTACTTTTAACACCATCAAGTCATTCTGTATTTACTCCATCTGTGACTGAAGACTTTTTCGTGTCTAAAATTGTCATAACTACATTTTGAGTTGCTAAATTTGCACAGCGTAGAATATTGTTGATATTGTGACATTCCCATAAAATTAACACTTAAAATCTAATATTTCATTTACAAAATAATAAAATACTTTTTCAGCTACGACAACTAAATTATATATTTATGCATCTCATCTTCTTAATCCATAAATTTACCTCTGTGCCCTCAAAAGTTTTCCAATCTAAAAGTTGGAAAGTTCGTTAGTTCAGATCAGTGTTGCCAAAAAGCGGGTAATTACCCGAAAAGCGGGTAATTTAGTTACCTGGGGGTAATGCTGCGGGTAATGGCAAATAGGCGGGTAAATGACAACTGATCAAATATTATTTGTTTTTCGTATAATTACTTTTATATTTCACTAAAAGAACAATATTTCCCTGTATTTGTTTCCCATTAAAGTAATTTCATAGACTTTTTATTGTTTTACACTACTTCTCTTAACCTTCATCAGTTTGGTTCAGTTCTCACCATTGAGATATAGTTCACTCAGTCACTCTAGTAGGCTACAGCGTTCAGTCGGTTCGTTCGGTTCAGTTTCAGTTTCAGTCAGTACGGTTGTTTGTAGTCCTTTCTTTTGGATTGGGGTGGAAAAACTTTTGGTAGCCTGGCCTTAATTTAATGCCTGAAACCATGGTGGAAGGAAAATACCGTACTAGTCTAGTCTCTAGTCTACTTCTAAAGAGGATGAAAAATATAAAACAGGGGAATAATAATATTTATTGGTTATAATAACTATATTTTCTCCCTATTAATAATAAAAAATTAAATTTTTAACAGTACTTACTCATTACTAAATAATTATATCACATAGGCTATCATAAAAAAAACCAAATCATTGTAGGCCTACGTAACTTATGTAATTATTTTTTTAAGGTCATAAGATTGAAAATTTCATTATGAAGGTTAATTACAAGTCTCAAGTCCCATATTTAGTTCTTTACATCTTAATTTGTGGGATTACTCAAAACTAATTTATCAGGGTTTGTATTCGTTACTTTTAGCATAGATAAATCATACTCCCTTGTGTTGCTTAGTCTATGCTTTTAGAGACAGGCAAGAGTGTCAAAAGGGAATTTTTGGTTTGTTGAGGGTAATTTTGAGAAAAAGCGGGTAATTCTTTGCTCTGGAGGGGGTAATTGGGCCATATTGGATTGGCAACACTGGTTCAGATCAGCCACCCAGACGTTCCATTGGCCTAGTTTCAGCTTAAGCTTTTTACAGCGTAAGATCTTTATGGGGTTGACCCACTTACAGTAAAGTGATGGTGATTGGGGTGTTGGTTTTCCCAGTGATCCTTGCTGGAGCTTAAAAGTGAAACTATTTTATTACAATGTTTCTGTGTATAACCGGTTTGACTTGTTTATTTTCTTAGATTTCACAAAGATCTGTGATGAATTTCCAATACAGTATGTTGAACTTAGCTATGCCAAAAAAAGTTTTTAATTTATTATTTTATGTTTAAGATTAACTCTATGGTTAAACAGATTTTTATAAATTAAAATTACTATTAATTTATTAATGCTTGTGCCATATCATATATCTATCTGAGAGTAAATCAGCACGAATTGTCTTATCAGTAAAAGAGAAGACATACTGTATAACAGTTGAATCTTCCCCAAGTACATGTTTTTATTTAAAAAATTTATTACAAAAATACATAAAATACCCCCACCTGAAAAAAATTTCTTTCATATAATATTCGCAGACTACAGTATAAGCTACCAGTAATTCCACTTTGTCTAATTGGATTTTTACTCACATATTTCCATAAACCAACATATTTATTCCTCATTTAAATAACATTAGATTTAACAAGTACTTAAATTTGCTTCTACGGGAAGGTAAAAAGTGTTTTTTAACCAAATCCAAATGTTAATTGTATACAATGAATAAAGTAAATTTGTCAAGTTAGATCAAAATATATTCATAAATAAGCAATCTACAAGTTTCCTTTATCTCCTTAAATAACATGAGAAATGTAAATATTTGTTTTTTTTTTCTTACAACAACACCTTAACTTACAAAATTGTTTGTTTTATTAACCCTTTCATTCCCAAGCATAGAAAAAGCTATTTAATTTTCTAATTTTCCTTCTATTGTTTGTCAATACAGTTTGTGTTTTTCAAGGTTAATATTAAATACTCATTCAAAAATATCTAAAACGTTTTTGTCAGGATGTTTTATTTTATCAAAACAACATACAGACACATAATTCTAATAAACTTTCCCAATAATGGATTGGTTTGAGCAACGACTTATTTTTTTAAACAGTTTATATTCTTGTTTATATACCCATTATATAGGCTACCTGAAAAAAGTAATTTTTAACTGTTCGTTATTTGTCTAATCCAAAGCTTTCAGAGTGTTTGTTTGGGATAACTTTTTTAAAAAATTACTAGAAGTCACCCAGTGGTCGAAAACTCAACCAAAAATATGTAATGTACCTCTCTATATATTCACCACACACTGTAATGATTGGAATTTGTTTGGGTTTTCTGTTTATATTTCGTTGTTATTTTGTCACCAGCATGGCAACCCATAATGCCCATGTTAATTTTTTAACATTTCAAATACATTTTTCTTGCTTATTTTTCAGCCTATTTTAATTTATAAAGGGATTCTGCACATCAACAGGAAAATATCTTTCATTTGGTACCAACCGCGTGTAATTCGGTCCAGTATACTACCAGCTACCAGCTTGTGGCGATACTGACCAGGCTAGCTTTCATAAGTTTTGTTAAAGTTTTTTAATATACAGGTGTTAAAAAAAGGTGGGGGCATAATTTACGTAGTGATTCCTTGGGTCAAAACAAATAGAAAATTAAGAATAAAATTCATCTTGATTAAACGTAAAATTTAAAAATGGCGGCCGGTTTTAATTTTAAAACTTAAATTACAGAAAGTAATTACCCGTTATTTTCATTATTTTCAACTTAAATTACTCAAAAATGGCCCTTTTTATGAAAAAATGTCAAGAACACTTTTATTTAGCATTTGTAATTCCCTATCTAACGATACCAAGCTCAAAAAGATCAAATAAGTAATAGCTGAAATATTACGATTTTTAGTTGTAGAATGGGGCAGCCCTGTCTAGTTTCTGCCTTATTCTACCCATTTTACAACTAAAAATCGTAATATTTCCGCTATTTCTATTTTTTTTATCTTGGTATCGTTTAATAGGAAAACAAATGCTACCTTAAAATTCATACCAAGTTTGATAAAGATCGGTTAAACAAATTTGAAGATAAAAAATGTTTATGTAAAAAATTTAAAATGACGGATATCTGGTTAACTAGTAGGTAGGGGATTTTGGTAAAAATGTTATTCTCGATTTTGTCTTTATTTTGACCCAAGGAATCGATACGTAAATTATGTCCCCACCTTTTTTGAACACCCTGTATATAAGATGTACCTATCTAAATTAAACAAGTGTATTTTTGTATAAAAATAAAATAAAATCATATTATTGATGCTTGTAAGCAGCATTACAATACATTATTTACATCCTTCACTCATGCCACTTATATTACTGTTCTATATACATTTATTAAATGAGATAGGAAAGCTGTATATTAGTTCAGCGTGTAAGTTCAGCCCATTGTAAGACAAATCTTGAATCTATTTGAAAAATGAAAAAAATAGTTTTGTTGACATTATTGTAGCTCCCATCCCATATCTTCAGGAAGGAAGTGAATCATTTACCTATCAATCAGTTTGTTTGTGGTATATTTAATACTAGACTTTGTGTATAAACTGAATAATTATAAATGAAAATCTTACTAAATCAAACACAACTAATTTAATTTGCATTATTTGGAACATTTATGGCCAAAAAATCTGTGTTTGGTTTGGATGCTTTTTTTTTTTTTTTTTTGTTCTTCATGATTGGCAGTAAGTTTTATAATAATTTTGTGATTTTGCCTTTTTATAAAAAAATATTTTTTTCAATCAGTGGGTGTCCAGCTGGAAACTGGTAAATCTTATTGCAATAGTCTCGTACGTGGTTATGTATGAGTCTTTGACTTTTTAACCTTTCAGAGGGCGCATTGGTTTTCAAAACGGGAGAGGGCGCACCTGGAGGTTACTTCCAGCTCAATAAAAACAAACATTTATGAAGTAAAATTTGTATTTTAGTGCACAAATTAAGTTTTATTTTTAATTTGAAACACCAAAAATATGTTTAGTGAACTCTTAATTATAAAATAACTTAATTAGATTTTATAAATATGATATTAAACTATTATTCTATCAAATGTTCTAACATAAAAGTATATGAAGAAATCTTTTACAAGAATATATTCAAGAAGTTAATTTTAATTTTCACCACAATGTCCTATAATGCGGTTCTAGATTATAACACTCACAATACCTGATGTTTTAACTAATTTAACATAATGGGTATCTTAATACTAAATGACTCTGTACATACGTCGTTCGTGAATCTCCCTTTCAGCACTGGCTAAGAGTGTTGCAATTCGAAATTTAACTTCTTCACTCATCGTTTAAAAACTATATATTTACTAAATAATGTCATGAGTCATATAAAAGTAATAATTTACAGTTATTATTTACACGCAATAATCAACGCACACACTAATCAGCGCACATGGATTTTGCCTCCAGGCTGTACAAGAATCGGCAGAGCGCACACGGAAGCTACTTCCAGCCTCTTACAAAACTGAAAAAAAACTAACATAAATATAAAATAGTACGGTTGAGTTTTGACCTTCACTTGATTCTAGGAATGAGTTGCGTGAGGTACAGTGACACTCACACTGCCGACACCACTCAAAATAATATAATCGTGAAAAATAAAACATCCCTGGAGGTTACTTCTGTGATGCGACCTCTGGAAGGTTAATAATCCCCAATAGCAACAATGTGTTTTTTTCATACTTAGTTTACAATATTTAGGCGGTGTGAGGGAAGGTTCTCTCCACCACTTTTTTGTATTATGTATGTTGCTTAATCAGCTGTTGAGCTATTATTTTAAAGGTAAGGGTCAAGTGGAGGGAATAGGTTGATTCCCTAAAACCGCTTAAATACTGTGAACAAAGTATAGCAAAATTCCATTAGTTCTTTTTTCATGCTGTTGTGTTAAGTAAAAAAAATCATGATCATGGGAAATTATCACAATCACAATGTTGCTGTGATTACAAGAGTTGCTGGGATTATGTAGAGGATCATTATGTTTGCTGCTGCTTTTAAATTAATGGTTTACTTTTGGAAATTCTAATTTTTACAGTTTAATAACGTTTTTTTTCTTTCTATGCTGTTTAATGTACAAGTAAGCAGTAGAACCTTGATAGTTCAACACTTTGTGGATTAAGGGATGTCGAAATATCGAAATGTCTAACTATAGGGAGTAAATGGAGTTTAATATACAGGAATGTAAAAACACTAGTCTTATATAGAAATCACCCAAATTCATTTAATAGTCAAAAGCTTAAAAATTAATTTCACTGTTCATTTAATTCTCAAGTCAACATAAAATGACAAATTAATGTTAATGTCAGCTTACATCACATTAGTAACAATTAAATATCACTTTATTTATTTATTTGCCAACGGATTTACACCAATTTTACAGTTTGATTGAGTTGTGAATTGCTCATTATGACTAGATAACCCATAATAATAACAATGAAAGGAATGTCAAATATAACAATAATAAGAGTAAAGTATACATGTGAAAAACTTGGACAAAGAAAGAACTGAGTAACGATAAGCAAATGCATAGTTGAATGAATAACGAAGATATGTATACAATAAATGGCAAATGGACTAACCTAGAAAACAATAAATAATATAAACAACAATGAAATAACAATAAACATGATAAATATTTTTGTGAGAACAATAAACAATATAAATAACAATGAAATAACAATGAACAATATAAATAACAATGAAATAACAATAGACAGATACATAAATATTTTTGTGAGAACTTGACAAAATAGCTCAGCTCGTGTCGAACTACAAGGAGTGTCGAACTATCGAAGGTTTACTGTACTAAAAAGCTAGTTTTTGTTTCTATTAGATGCAATTTTACATCTGAAATTTTTGATTTTGACTTTTTTTCTCCTGCACCACTCTGGTACTAAGTTACCTTTGGTATTTAATCGGGATGGGAGCTTCTCTGTTACATGCTCTCCCTAAATTCCACCCTGTGGAGTCGGTGCTTTAAGTTTACACCATTAGTTATCATCTTGGCCTTTCGTCTTCCTTTTTTCTCTTAACTATGCGGATCAGATTCCTGGACACTGCACTCAATTCTTCTTTTTTCTGTATCAATGAGATGTGTTTCTAAGAGCTACCTCTTTTCCCAGTTCCACCTCCGAAGCCTCCTTTTGTGTCCTCCATCTAGGAGTTAAAATTGCTTTACAGTCAACAACAAAACCTCAAATGTAATAAAATATAAATCTTGTGTTACTCTAACCTCTATTTGACCAACTTTAACTTCCAACGAATTATTTGTAACAGGCTAACTCTGAGGTGGAGGTCAAATACCTGACATTGTAAGGCTTCCAGTTAGAGCCCAATTTGCCAGATTAAGGGTTTTCAGCCACTGATCCACATTTGTCGTATTGAAAAAAAATAAATAATTATTGATTTAATTTTTAAAATAATTTAAAATTGGTTAAAGTCAGATTTTATTACAAATTTAAAATTTTAAGCACTAACATGAAATACATTTTTTATTGAACTCTAGAGATTTACTTCCCCTCTTTTGTAAGAAAATGACAAAGTTAAACATTGTTGATGGTGAAAAAGTTAAAGTTACGCTATGCCAGTTAAACTATATTTGAAACCATATTTTGAGTGGAACTTTTTAAATTTTTATATTACTCTACTGGGAGATAGGATTTGAAGTTAATACTTACTCATGGAGATATTCTCATCTGTTCAGGTTAATCAAAGATCTTAAAGCGTTCTGCTTCGTCTACTTTTGCTTACTCAATCACTTTTGTAAAAGAAGTAATTAAATTTCCTAGTTAAAGAAAAATTCTTTAAGATGTTATGTTTTCCCTTTTTAAATAAATTTGCCAAACCTATACTTTTTTAATACAAGCCTTACGAACAATAGCGTTGTCAAAAACATTATCAATACAAAGAATTAATACTATGAACAACATAATTATTATACCGCTTACTTGATTTCTGAGGTACTGCTTCAAATGTCAGTATTAACATTGTTCTTTGGAAATAGCATCAAAATATTTTGAGTTTGCCAAAATATGAGAAGCTGCGTCATTAAATTGTATATACAAAAATGGCTGAAACTTGCATTCTCAATCACTGAAATATCAATTTTCTGGGTCCCATACCACCCTCTAAACGGGGATTATCTCATACCCTCTGACTCCTCCAGTTAGATCTCGGCAGAAAATTCAAGAATCCCCGGACAAATAACCTCCAACTCCACCCCTGCATCGCATCATAACTATTTCTGAGCTCATAATAACAGGGATTTTCATACAAGTATCAAATTTTGTTCCATCAAGTACCATTATGAAACATGATAAAGCAATAAATAATACAGTCTGTTATCATACAATAGTTATTTGTGTAACTAGTGGGCGAAGTGGCATTTTGCTGCACATGTGAGAAATGATCACACTCGAGCCGTAGGCGAGTGTGGAATGTTTCTTAATGTAGTAAAGGCAGTTTGCACTCACGTTACTCATTATATTTTTCCTACAGTTACTACAGGGTGGTGCAAAAAAGATGGTTGGATTTGAAATGAATATAACGCAATGATTTTACACATAAATTTTCCAACTTACTTTTTTGAACACTTTCAAATATTCCATTAAAAAATAACCTTGTAAGTTACAAAGGTGCTAAGTAGGCTATGTCAATCAAACCATAAATATATAAAAAAATAAAATTAGAAAAAGCAACCATAAAAAACGTAGTGGGCTTCGAAACACTGACGCTCTTATGGTCTCTATTTTTTTATGAACTGCAGTTAGTGGAAAAAAAGTAGATTTACCACCAACGACGGATCCTGTTTTTCGAAATGCAGTGATATTGATCTGCAATCAGGAACCAGTCCGTTACTGGCTACGCCAAAATGTTGTCGAAACATGTACCATTACACCGTAACAAAAGATTCACTTTTTCTGAAAAATCTGTTCAACTGCAAGAACACGGTACTCGACCGTCTACAGAGCCATCTCGACCCATACAAGGGGGTGTGGTTGTAACGGGTTTTACTGTACATCTATAAGTTTGTTTGTATGCATCTGAATGAGGAATCTCATAGGATAGTGAGATAGGGTTAAAGGTTACTAACTACAGTCACAGAAAACGTACTACTATAGCCCAGAATGCCAACCGCATGGTAAAAAGCATTAAGCGGTTTGAGAGAGCTTTGCCTGTCAATCCGTAGGCAGCGCCACCAGCGTTGCTATGCTATTGCATGGCAACGCTGGTGGCGCTGCCTAAGGATTGACAGGCAAAGCTCTCTCAAACCGCTTAATGCTTTTTACCATGCGGTTGGCATTCTGGGTATAGTAGTACGTTTTCTGTGCTACAGTGCTGCTAACTCTTTTGCAATCCTAAGAAATATCAGCTCTCAAACCGCAGTTAACACCTGATTCCCACATGATGCCTCTGAAATTGTTACTTTTTGTATGCTTTTGTAGTGATTGTTAATAAAACAATATTGTTAACAAGTTGTTAACTGATTGTAATTTTTTGAATTATCATCTAAAAAAGGTTTTCTTCTACAAAAATTAATTTCACCAGTCTCAATTTTAAAGGCTTTTTCATGTTTTATTTTTCAACTTTTATGTTTTTGTTTTCCAGAACTAACCACACAAGATGTCATCGGTCAAGGTAGCTGTGAGGGTTCGTCCCTTCAACAACAGGGAGGTGTCCAGGGAGAGCAAATGCATCATTGAAATGAACGGCTACACTACCAGTGAGTTATATTATTGAATAAATAAAACTAGAGGTCGTCCAGTGGTCGAAAACTCAATCAAATATATGTAATGTACAAAAACTTCTCTATTTTTGACGAAATTGTTGAATCACTTACTAAACAGCTGTTTATTTGCATTACCAAAATTGAAAACAAATTGGAATTTTTTTTAGACTTTATTTTTCTTAGTTTGTTAATTAAATAATAATGTTCATTATAATAATGTTAAATATAGTTCATTCAATCTCATGAGGTCTTACCTTTTCAATCGACACTTCAGAGTAAAATTTGGTGATATTGTTACCCCACTTCACGAAATTCATGCAGGAGTTCCCCAAGGAAGTGTATTGGGCCCCGTTCTCTACACATTGTTCACGGCGGACCTCCCTAAAAATCCTAATGTCGAAATTGCAACATTCGCTGATGATACTGCTATTATAGCCTCTCATGAAAACCCTGTTATAGCTTTACAAATTTTGCAGACTGGACTCGATGATATCTCCGATTGGCTAAAAAAATGGGGGATCAAAGTAAATGACGAGAGTAAATCGATCCATACAACCTTTACAACAAGATTAGACACGTGTCCTCCAGTTACCCTAAACAACGTTCAAATCCCACAGTGCAATGAGGTTAAATACTTGGGCTTGACCCTTGATAGAAGACTCACTTGGAAAAGCCACATCTGGAACAAGAGAATTTCGTTAAATTTAAAATTTAAAAATCTTTCTTGGCTATTAAATCAAAATTCTAAATTAACAACAGAAAATAAATTGCTTTTATATAAAACCATTCTAAAACCAGTGTGGACGTACGGTATCCAACTGTGGGGGACATCCAGTGAATCCAATTTGAACATCATCCAAAGATTCCAATCTAAAGTTCTAAGACACATTCTCCAGGCACCATGGTTCGTCAATAACGAAGTAATTCACAGGGACAGTCAAACCCCAACAGTCAAAGAAGAAATTTCAAAATTAAGTGCCAAATTTAAAGAAATTAGAGTACCATCCTAACTACCTTGCTATAAATTTATTGGACAACAGCAACTATACATACAGATTGAAAAGATGCCATGTTTTGGACTTAAGTAGTCGTTTTTAGACTTCAAACTTTGTACCAAATATGCAGTTTGTGTGTTAGCTCTATTGTTGGATAAAGACTAACTACTGTGTTTAAATTTTATCAAATTTGCTTATTGTTCTATTTTTTGTTGAACAGATTGTAAATTAAATAAAATGTTACAAAAAAAAAAATAAAAAAATAATAATAATAATGTTGTAATTTGACAAAAAATATAGTTCATCACAAGATATAAAACTCTTTTCAACCTCCCTAATTTTCCTAAGAGATACTCGAGCTCTGGTCAAAAATAGTCTCCAGTGATGAAATGTGCTATTATATATAAAATTGTGTTTGTATATAGTTTTTTTTTAGTTACTAATAATATATAAAATACAGTTATATATTTACCACATAAAATTATGAGAATCAATTTGGGTATATACAGTATAAACTTTTTTATCATTGGAAAACACAAGTTGAGTTTCTATTCCACTGACGGCCACTAACACGGCAAATGCAGTCTCGGGTAAAAGCTTAAGTGCTTCTCACTGTCAATGGCCTCAATACCCATGATTCTCTCTCTCATTCAAGTAAAAGTTGGCAGTAATGTATTCAAGATAAAATGTATAGTTTTGCAACTCAATGAATTCCATTGGAATATGTAATTCGTTACACAGGTATACTGTATAGGTCTTTTTAACTATGCATTAGAAAATCTTAAATCAACGCCCAAAAAATTGTAAAAACCTTAACATAATCTTCTAAGGGGTTTTACAAGATGGAAGATAAGAAAATAAACAAGAACAACTGCAACAGAAAAAAACTGTCAATGAGTTACTAAACGGAGCAAGAACAATAATTTAATAATCAAACCCTCCAAAACCAAGTATATAGCAGACACATTAATTTTTGTTCCATTAATAACTTGCTGCTCTATTGTACATTTTACCTTGTAATAAAAAACTGTAAATCAACTGAAAACTAAAAAGAAATATAAAAATCCTAAAAGATATTTTCTAGGATGTTTTTTTTTAAGATGTTAGAATAAATAAGTGAATAATTTAGAATAAATTTAAAATCAAACACTTCCAAAATTTTGTTTTATTTATTATTTGTGTACGGGGTTTTCTAAGATATAAGAGTGGATAGGGAAAATAAACAAGAACAGCTGCAATAAAACTGTCAATGAGTTAGTAAACGGAGCGAGAACGATAAATTGGGAATCAAATCCTCCAAAGAGCAACATATGGAAGACTCGTTGTCTAAGTGCACAGCTGAGGTGAAGGTAGCTTTGTATTGATCAAAACTTGCCTCTTGCCACCCGTTGAAGCATGCCTCTCCTCCCCCCTTCCCCTCCACTACCGTGCACTACCGACACTACAGCTATTGAACCTCTTAAGATATTGTGTCGCTTTTGTTTTCTCTGCCTCTTACGTCCATGCATCTTCAGACAGCTCTTTTGTCACTTTGCAGATCACATGAGAATTTAAGAATCTACCAAAAATTTTGGTTTAGGTCGAACTTGAGGCTTTAACTTGGTTTTTCTTTGGACATCGGCACTTTGATTTTTAATTTTATGAGGTTTTTAATCTAGATATCTTACTATATCTCAAGTTATTCTGTTGAAATCTTCAAGAAGAACTGCTAATATTGGAATGAATATAAATTTGAAATAAAGACTTCACCAATATTTTAAGAATTTTTAATTTCATGAGGCCTTTAACCAGCTATGCTGGCATCATCAGACACATCACAAAACTATATTTCAGATTCTGTTGAAGTCTAAAACCAGTTTGAATTATTAATAAGGTATTTGATTATATTGAATAGAAAAAGCAGTCCATTGAACGACTTGGAAACAAACTAAGATTAATCAAGAACTCATTAACAAGAAGGATCCATCATTTATTTATTCATCATTTATTTGATTTATCAAGAATCTAAATGACACTGAAAAACTAATAAAAATTCAAACGAAGTAAAAACAAAACCAAGATGGCTCAATAAAAACGTGTTTTTATTTTTGATAGATCTGGACCATTTGACTAAATGGACTGGGCTAGGCTTTGGTCCTGAAGTCACAGGTTCAAATTCCACCAATCACCTTTGACAATAACAAGATCACATATGTTCTCCTTTGCTTAACGTTTAGCTTTATGATAATTTTATCAACCTCTAGGCTTAGCCTGAGGTAATGTATTAAAACGTTTCGGGGGTAGATTCTTAATGTCCTATAGGCTGTGAAGGAGGCCATTAAAAATAATTCATTCCCTAGTTTAAAAAAAATCATAAGGATTTTTTCTCTGAAAACTGCTGTCGAAGTCTACTTTTTTTCTGGTTTGGCCTTTATGTTTTATTTATATTTTTGGAGTACTTTCACATTTAAATGTTTAATAATCAGTGTAACTTTGAGTTTTATTGGTAATTTTTAATAAACCGGTTTGTATACAATAAAACTTCACAGTTCTCTGGAAAATGGCTGACTCAACTGTCCCTAAAGTTCTGACTTTAGGGACAGTTGAGTCAGCCATAAATTCAACATTTACTTTGTTTATGTCATTTTCAGTTCTACTGTGACATTATTTCATAGGTGACATTTAAACCTAATTAGGCTGTAAGTTATTCGTTAGTTGTTATGTTGAAAAATTCAGTTTTTTTTTTAATACGCCAATACATTAACAGTCTACACACGTCTTCATTAGTCTGCATTGTTGAATTTAATCTTTCTTACCAATAAAAGTAAAATTGCCCTCACATATTCTTCTCTTTTATTTTTCAGCCATAACAAACCCAAAAGCACCGCCAAACACAAAAGACGCAATAAAAAGCTTCAACTATGACTACTCATACTGGTCCCATGATGTAAGTATTATGTTTTAAATAAGTTTTGTAGCGTTCCCAATTATATTTATGTGCTCTCTCGTAAGTTTGCTGGTGCATGAATAATATTTGTCTATCAATAGTTAAAAGCATGTTTTAGTTGGCCTAACCGTTCAAATTGAGAGAAAAGTATTTTGTAACAATTCAAAACTTGTAAGCTACGGATATATAAGTATTGTAAGAGAATGTGGAGAAAGGAATTTGTAAACTGATCTAATTTACAAAAGTAAAGTTACTGTAGAAAAATATATATTTTTGTGATGAACTTATAACAAGTGTAGACTGGTTATATCCGTGCAAAGTTTGCTGAAGGTTGACAGGAAGAACATATCAGTTTCAGCAAACTCATCTGACGGATGTGTGTATAATGCTCATTCATCATTTACCTGATTCTAACTAAAAGTTCTTTGTTCATTGTTTCACGTAAGAGTAGGGGTTGCTATTTTATATTTCATTCATTGTTAATACAATAAATATAGACTCATAATTAATGAACTTCAAATACTGTATCAATATTTTTTGTTTGGTTAAAATGGATACATTTTAAATACTCGTTTAAATTTATAGTGTTTTCAAAGTTATGTTCCAACCTAACGTAAAAATCAACATAAATATAAAACCTTGGTTCATCTTGTCTGGAATTTTAATATCACAAACTTTTATATTGTTTGTATTTATTAAAATATCCATACATATAGCCTTATTTTTATGTTTCTGGACATATGTATTGTGTGTCAAATTTGTGAACCTCGTATTGAAAGTGTATGAGGTTTTATTTAGTTCTGCATTATCAACACATCATCTGTTACAATAGGGGTTTAACCTTTGCAATAACCTTTCTAACTAGATAACAACAGTTTTCTTTCATTGTCAAAGTTTTATCATAAGTCACTTAATGTAGTTTAAGATGTTGAAAGTCAAGTTATTTACAAATCAATGCCAGATAAAAAAAAATAGCTTATTCCCTATACGGGAAATTCGCTAAAAGGGGATCACTTCCCCTGTTATTTCACTACGCTACAAATATTTTTTTCTTTACTGATGCTTATATTAGTATACATTGTATCAATGCCATTGGATCATTGTTTAAACTAGTTTAAGTAATACTTTGTTTCTTCATAAAATTGCCAAACGGCTTAATCATTTTCAAAATAAACTTATCACACACTTTTATAGAAATTTCTATATTTCGGCATTAGCCTTCTTCAGGAACAAACACAATAACAAATAGAAGTGTTTACCACTCTGAATCATATGGTTTTAGCATAAATCCAAAATACATATAATTTATGAAGAAGTAAAAAAGAAAATGTTTTGATAGAAAGAAAGAAAAAATTTTATATATATATATGTATATATATACTATCTCAAATTTAGACCGGAAGGTGTTTTAGATTTAAGTATTAATTGATGAGCTTGCTCAAGCTGTCTTAATTTCAAGTCTGGTGCGTCTTTTGCCAATTTTCTTATTCCTTTTAATGAATAACATTGTTCAAAATTTAACCTGTGGCTATTCATGCGAGAGAGCATTCTCAAAATTTTGAACAATGTTATTCATTAAAAGGAATAAGAAAATTGGCAAAAGACGCACCAGACTTGAAATTAAGACAGCTTGAGCAAGCTCATCAATTAATACTTAAATCTAAAACACCTTCCGGTCTAAATTTGAGATAGTATATATATACATATATATATATAAAATTTTTTCTTTCTTTCTATCAAAACATTTTCTTTTTTACTTCTTCATAAATTATATGTATTTTGGATTTATGCTAAAACCATATGATTCAGAGTGGTAAACACTTCTATTTGTTATTGTGTTTGTTCCTGAAGAAGGCTAATGCCGAAATATAGAAATTTCTATAAAAGTGTGTGATAAGTTTATTTTGAAATTAAGTAATACTTTGTAATCCTTGTATTGATTATGTATTATGTATTTTTCAGACCACCGATTCCAATTTTTCATCACAAATTATGGTTTACAAAGACATTGGAGAGGAGATGCTGGAACACGCTTTTGAAGGTAAAACTTATTAAAGTTTATCTTGATACTTGTCCTATGAACCACATATTTTGTCTGTCATTGCCTGTTGTTAAAGTGCAAGGTATAGGCTGGGATGAAATTTGTTAAAGTGATTGTTTGCTTGAAAAAAGCTACATTTATGTTCCTAATTCAAATTTCTTATTTAAACTTTGACTAGAAAAACATGTTTATAGGGGTTTAATCATTATTTGTAGCAAATAACACATTTTACTTTGCTGAGTTACACTCACAATTGAGCCCCTCGGATTAGTGAAATCCGTCAGCATATCAAAAGCAGATCCCTCAACATAATACAGTGGAGCCAAGGATTTCTATTGCGATTGCAGAAAAGACTTTGCAATTATATATTTTGTTAATTCTGACTTAATAAATTATTTAATTTGATTTGATTTGAAAAATTAACTCTTCTGCCGCGATTGCAATGATGACTTTCAAAGATCCCGGGAGATGTTGATCATGTCAACACGACTACGGAAATGTTCAGGAGTTTGCTATGATCACAGCTTCTGCCTGATTTAAAACAAAACGATTCTTATTACTGTAGATTTAGGTTATTTCCTGTAAGCAATTTTAATAATCAGCGATTTGTCAAAACTGAATGTAAAACTATAATTTCGACAGCAGCACACTGTTAGTTCCACTATGCTCTTTATAAATAAAAAGTTGTTACGGTTGATATATAGACAGGGTGTTCAAAAGCTAATTCCTATGTCGTGCTGCAGGCTACAACGTGTGTATCTTCGCATATGGTCAGACTGGAGCTGGCAAGTCCTACACCATGATGGGACGGCAGGAGGTGGAGGGGGAGGAGGGAATCATCCCTCAGATATGTGAGGACTTGTTCAAGAGGATACAGAAAACCACATGTGACGAGCTCAAATACTCTGTAGAGGTAGACAATGATTGATTGTTCAAAAACCATTAGAGTTCATGAAATTATTTGGAACAGAGGAAAATCATCTTTACTCACTGTTAAGACTATTATATCAACTCTGTAAATTGAAGAATAAGTAGACCTTAATGATTTAAATACACAATGACCAGAATATCACGCTGCTCTGAGTGATTTTTCAATACTCTTTAAGATTTTCTTGTTAAAAATGTTGCAAAAATTAGCTTTTTTTACGGGGCAGTTTCATTCACTTATATAACAAATTGTAGTTACCCCATGTCGAATCACAATGTGATGTCAAAGTAAGCACAACGTGATTGGTAAATTATTAAATCACTATTTAGGGAGCATTTCTCAAGTGGCGAAATCAAGATATTATTAACAGAAATAAAAGAAATCTAGAGGGCCTTAGAGAGGTTCGGGGCCATTGAATTCAAGGGCATCCTAAACTGCTGAATCGCTCTATCTGGGGTGTAAGTTTTGACTGAAAAACAGTTCTTTAGATTATTGAAGATCGTTGAAAGAAAAGAGTAGCCCCTATTTAAATTGTTTAGAATAATTGTATACTTAATGTTTCAATCAATTAAAATTATAGATGATGTATGTATCTTCAAGAATAATTTTTACTTTTGTTTGTAATGGAACCGTATTACCTGCTGTAAATATTATATATTAAACATAATCATGATGCAGGTAAGCTACATGGAGATCTACTGTGAGAGGGTACGAGATCTGTTGAACCCCAAGAACAAGGGAAACCTGAGAGTAAGAGAACATCCACTGCTTGGCCCTTATGTAGAAGATCTGTCTAAACTAGCTGTCACATCATACCAGGATATCCACGATCTCATAGACGAGGGAAACAAAGCTAGGTGAGACATAACCTTATGTAATCTAACATAACCTAACATTACCTAACCTAACCTAAGTTAGAGAGAGCATTCACTACTTGGACCTTATGTAGAAGATCTGTCTAAACTAGCTGTCACATCATACCAGGATATCCACGATCTCATAGACGAGGGAAACAAAGCTAGGTGAGACATAACCTTATGTAATCTAACATAACCTAACATTACCTAACCTAACCTAAGTTAGAGAGAGCATTCACTACTTGGACCTTATGTAGAAGATCTGTCTAAACTAGCTGTCACATCATACCAGGATATCCACGATCTCATAGACGAGGGAAACAAAGCTAGGTGAGACATAACCTTATGTAATCTAACATAACCTAACATTACCTAACCTAACCTAAGTTAGAGAGAGCATTCACTACTTGGACCTTATGTAGAAGATCTGTCTAAACTAGCTGTCACATCATACCAGGATATCCACGATCTCATAGACGAGGGAAACAAGGCTAGGTGAGACATAACCTTATGTAATCTAACATAACCTAACCTAACCTAAGTTAGAGAGAGCATTCACTACTTGGACCTTATGTAGAAGATCTGTCTAAACTTTCCTTCACATTGCACCAGGTCATCCATGACCTCATAGACGATAGGTGTGATATAACGTAACCTAACCTAAATTGACTTAACCTGAGCAAGAGAGCATCCACGTGGAACCTTACATAGAGAATTTGTCCAAACGTACTGTCACTTAAAACCAGATCATCCACAAGCTTACAGAGACTCTATCAGGCCATTGTTGACACAATTAATTTCTTCACGTGAATAATCCTACAATCACATTTTTTATCAAATCAATATGGTTTGGACTGATTCAACTGTGTTCTACATTAAACCCTCACAACACTTTTATTTCAATTCAACAATGTAAGCATTGGTTTATATTTTTCAGAACGGTGGCCGCCACTAACATGAACGAGACGTCAAGCAGATCACATGCAGTTTTCACCATATTCTTCACCCAGCAGAGGTTTGACAAGATGACCGAGCTTACAACAGAGAAGGTCAGCAAGATCTCGCTGGTGGACCTGGCTGGGTCGGAGAGAGCCGACTCCACGGGGGCGAAGGGGACGAGACTGAAAGAGGGGGCAAACATCAACAAGAGTCTGACCACTTTGGGCAAAGTCATATCTGCATTGGCAGAAGTGGTGAGTTGCTGTTGTTTTAGACATCTTAGAAGAATCCTTTCATAACATTGAGTATTGATAAGAATGGTAAGGCTACTGGGATTAGGCCTGTTAGATTTTGTTAGTGTCATGCATTACAAGCTGCTATACTCAGCTTTGATTGGGAAGAAGACATGAAAGATAATAATACTGTTCTTTAGATCTGCTGTATGAAATAGCTACACATCTAGTATTCACTTACAAACAAAACTTAATCAAACATCAGTTTGTTGATAACATTATGTGCCTACAATATTTAATTTACAATGTTAAAATACTAATTACTTTATTCGGTCTTAGCGAATCAGCTCTGATCTTTACTGTTTATTAGCCTATTTTATTTTTTATTGAAGGTTTTAATTATTCATTTTGTGTTTTTCATGTGATTCCTGGCGCTTCCTTTGGAATAAATCAGTCTGTAAGTATCAATAATTGAATATTCCTCTAAGTTTAGTCATAGACTCAAAAAGAGTTACTCGCTTGAATCAGTAAATTTAAACGTCAAGAAAACTGCTTGCAATTTTTCACATGCGAACGTAATCTACAGAAGTTTAATTTTCCCTACACTGATTATTGTTTTGTTTTCAGGCTATGAAAAACAAGAAAAAAGGAAAGGAAAACTTTATTCCCTACCGGGATTCTGTGCTGACTTGGCTTCTGAGAGAAAACCTCGGTGGGAATTCCAAGACTGCAATGATAGCAGCTATCAGCCCTGCTGACATCAACTATGACGAGACCCTCTCTACTCTTAGGTAAATCCATGGATGTGATGTGTTTAATTTAGACTTAACCGTAATGTACATGACATATTCCAAATTTATTCAACCTTTTTATGTCTATATTGTATTCATGTGTATATCTAATGTAATCAGAAGAAGTACTAAATGTGATATGTTTAGAAGAAGGGTTTTTGGTTGTGGAAAATTTCTCCATGTTAAGGTGAGAGTGCATAGGTTACTCTCAAAAACATAACTGATAAGAAATCGGAATAGGATAAGTTGATTTTGTTATGTTGTGACATAATGGAATTAATATAATGGTGTCAACTTATGTTAGCATACAATTTGATCAGAATATTTCAAGTTAGGAGATTTGTAGTTGGTGAAATTATCTCTAGCCAAATAGTCTTGAAAATTTCTGGAGATTCTCCTTTATAAATTATGGATATCAGAAAACCAAATATATTTTAAAATTGTAATGCACATACAGCGTTTAAAATCAATCAATGAGGTAATGAAAACCGATTTTGAAATTCAACAGGCACTTTGTATTTTAAAAAACTTGTTTTATTCTTATTTTTTGGCTAGCTTGATGTTGGAGTATGTTATTAAGGCTTTTAAAATATAATCTTTTATAAATTTCAGGTATGCCGACCGCGCTAAACAGATTGTATGCAAGGCAGTGGTGAACGAAGATGCCAACGCCAAGTTGATCAGGGAACTGAAAGAGGAGATTCAACGGCTCAGAGACATGCTGAAGGCGGAAGGCATTGAAGTACAAGAAGGTAAGTGTTGTGTTTGTTATTGCACGGATCTCCCTTGTATATATGTACTGTAAAATATACACTTTATATCCTCGGTGATGAGAAAACTGTATAACCTTGTCTATTTACTAGATTATTGTGAATATAAAATCTGAAATATGCCCAAAAATGTATTCTTTTAATTTTGTTTATTGTTCATTACGTTTTTTGAACAATCACATACTAACAGTGTGAGATGATTTATAATTTCAATTTGTACCTTGGTTCCTGAAGTTAAAGTTTGTGGGGATGTATGTTTCGCCACTCACTGGGGAATAATCATTATTTTGTGTGTAGCTTGCGGCATTTTTGATGTTTTTGTTAGGGAATGTTCCTAACCCTCTTCTTGTTTCTACCTATTGTCAACTTTATGTTAAATATGGCCGAATGGCAAAAGGTTTTGGTTCATCATAAAAGTTAATCTTAACTAACATGATTATTTAAGGTTAGTTTTGTTCAAGGAAAGGCTCTAGGACAGGATTTTGAATTGTAGAAAAAGGAGGATAGCAGCTAGCTTACCTTGAAGAATTTGTAATTTGTAAACTCTACCACTTTTTCTACGCTTGACAAAGTCCCTCAAGCGACAAAATATTGTGTGCTCAGTGTCTGTTCTGTATGCTCTATGGCCTACTTACACTTCTTCAAGGTAAGCTAGCTGCTATCCTCTTTTTTTCTACAATTCAAAATAACCTGATTATTTACAATTCTGTGTAAAAATTGATGCTCCACTGGTGGCAAAATGTATATCACCTCAAATAATAACTTCAGGAACCGAGGCACGTTAAAGTTAAATAATGAAACCCATTTGGTTTCCCAAACTAGGAGATATTATTTCCTATGATCGATTAGTTTCTTTGATTGATTATTATTTTATATCTTAACTTATGAAATGTAATATATTTTTGTAAAAATCTGTGTTACAACTTTACAATTGTTGTAGTTAAGAAACAATGTTACAAACAATGATTTTACTGTGTTAAAAAACCTACAAACTGTCTTAGAAAATTTACTTCATATCAAACTTTTACTTGATGCATCTGTAAAACAGTATTTACAAATTTTTTTTAACATCACAAACATTTGAGAATGCTACGCCCTCTTTGGTAATTTAAAGCATGACCAGTTTCATAACCTAAAGGCCCCAAGGATAGCAGCACTAACCTCCCACAATGACTACTTCAGCACCTTCTCTTACTCTTTACCCTACTGATTGTTATTTTTTCCCCGGATAGGGCCAGATGGTAAAGTCGTTTATGAAAAGGCTAAAGAGAATAGTAAGTAGAACTGTGCCATTGCTTCCCCGCTTCGCCACACAATCTTTGGCCTAGCAATGCATACTGTCCCTGTTACTATTATTTTCAAATTATAACTGTTTTATTTTAAATTTTTAACACATCATTTTTTTTAAGAGTAATGTTGCTGTTTTACACTTTATTTTGATGTGGAAACACTGCAATTACGCTCAACATCTGATTAAACTCTTCTGCTGTATTGCTATTTTTGTTCAAGGGTAGTTGTGGAATCAGATTTGAAGTCTGTTAGAAATTCTCAAGTTACTATTAATTGAAGCTGCTAAAATATAAACTAAACGATTGCGTAATAGTTCAAGAATAATCAAACTTAATGAACACAAGATGGTTATTATGAAAAAGCTTTTAATTTTGAGAAGTAAGGTTGTTGAAACAACATATATTGTTACAGTCATAGTAGGTACTATAACATTATTTTAAGATTTTCACGAAATATAGAATGTGTAAAGTAATTAGTTTGTAATGGAAACTAAGTAGAAAAAGCACAGAAGATGGTATTAACACCAAAGATTTATTTTTTTAAATACTGTAGTCTTGTTAATCCTGTTAATTACCGTTATCATTAATTCTGCTGATTACTGTTAATACTGTTACTGTAACCCTTTATGGTTGTCCTGATTACACTTATATTTTTCACTTCTGTAGTTCTGTGAGAATTCACAGATTCAAAATTTATGTGGCTCTTTCAAAATGTAGAGCCTATGAGTCATAAAATAATGAATAACAGAATTATGAAAATCGTAATGCTCATCACGTTGTTTGGCCTTAAAAATCCTCATTCCAAATAAATGCATATTTAATTCCGGGCCGTGTTTAGAATGTATGAGGCCCCGGCAGCTTACATTAGAGAAGCCCCTCTATTCAGATTCATTGGTGGCTGGAGTTTAAGGGGTGTAGAAATACACGTGGTATTGATTCAAATTGGTTTTCAAAGATTTGATTGGCGAGTAAACCTGGGAGGCTAGGAGACTAGCTAATAAATAATTGATCCAATTGATTTATAGTAATAATAATAGAGGTCTGCATGACAAACGTGAGTGTGGTGAAATCATGGACATCTTCCGCCATAGTGGAGGAATCGTGAACTTCTTTTGGGTTCGTTGAGGCTCTATCATTGTCCCTAGCAATGACGTGCTAATTGTGATATTTGAACGCACAATCTTCGGATTTTGAGAGTAAAAGCTAAAATCTATAATCTAATAAATAATTGCTGAAATTCAATTTTCAAGAGAAACAAAGTTTCTTTGAGGTATCCTCCCAGGCTGAGGTCCGTGGTAACTGATGTGGCTGCCATTACGTAAACACAGCCAGGATTTTATTTACTTTCCATGAAAATAAATTCAAATCACTGTTTGTGTGAAAGTGATAACCGAAAACTATGCTCTTATACCTATGCCTATTTAAATTTAAGGTTAAGTAGGTGTTTAGTCATGTATTTACCAAGGCTGGCCAATGTTCAGTTGTTTGCTTTATTACACAATAGGCTTGGTTTGTAAACTAAAACTATTAAATTTCAAGAGAATTTTCTATTTTCTATTTTATTTCTTTATTCTACTTCTTCTAATGCATTTTGTTTAAATGCTTCCTGTACATGCTTTAAATACACACTTTAAAACAATGCCTCTCACTTGTAGTTTGGAATGCTCTTGCATGTACATTGTTCAAGTAAACCTAACTTTAAGTAATTTCTAATCAATTTAACAGTTGCCGTTTCCTCAAGTTGTTAGTTAGATTTAATTTTTAAATGTGATTCCATCAAGAAAAACTGTACTCTGTTTCCGCAGACAACAATGGATCATATCAATTTCAGCAAGATATAAGATATACTAATAGGTTCTTGAGTATATCACTTTCTTCTATTATTCACTTTTTAATGGAATTGGTATTACTTAATTTAACTGTTAATGATTTATTACAGTTATTTATGTTTATAACTGGCTGGGTAGCAGAGCGGTTATAGTGCTCGCCTACTAATCAAAAGGTTGCCTGTTCGATCCTGAGAAAAGTCAGTAGCTTTTTGATGGTTCGAAACTGGACCCAGCTGTTCCTGATCATTGGGCTTTAAATAAATGATCCTGGCTAATGAAACAGCTGATCTTAGTCAGTAACAAAGCTACACAGGTCATCTCACACCATCTACACTCATCCTTCACTCATATTTGGGTTAAAATACGCACCTAAGTGGCGTCCACATCTTAATGATTGATAATTGATACATTATATATTTTTTACCATCTTGAGTCTAAATTAAACTAAAATGTAATATATACAATATTATAATCTGAAATAATATAACCCTTTTGTCTTAACAAAATAATCAAGTAAATTGCGTTCAAATGTTTGAATGAGGTTGTTTTTTTTCAGGGGAGGAAGGTTTAAAGGTTATGAAAGGCGAGAACGGGACCAAAGAGATGGTACAAGCATCAATTAACGCTGAAGACACAGTGGACAGACTACAGGCCAGCGAAAAGCTAATCGCAGGTTAGAAAATCTAACTTTCCATTGATGCATGGATTCCATAATTTAACAAGAAAATTAACAGTTTAACGTTACATAGGTTTGTAATGTTGTGATAAAATGTTTTATGTCATACTGAGGCATACCAAGCCTTTCTATGTACTAAGGTGCTTTAAACACCATTTTGAAATGTATTTAATGAAGATACTAGTGAGGAAAAAGTATAGAAATCGATTTAAACTTACTCTATAGGCTATCACTTAAATATTAGCATAGACACAAGATTTTTATATAGACCGACAGCAGTGCTGCGGTTAGCGTTCTTGTGTCCACCACTTGGAGTGCCGTGTAGTTTTGGCACACACCGCTGCATTGACAAGCGTTGCCATGAGAACTTGGTAGTTAGAGCCAGTTTTGGGGAATTCCCTGGAATTCAGGGAGTTGTAGTTTGTTCCGTTATTTTTCTGTGTTTTACAATTTTCCGGGAATTAAAAAAAATTGTCTTTTCCGTTAAAATTACGGGATTTCAGAATTTTTTACTTCACCCATATTGAAAAGTGGGTGGTAGCATTTTGTATGCAAGGGTGGTAGTGCTGGTAGCGAGTCGATGACGGAGCGAATCGATGAAGACTGAGAACGCTCTAGCGGCACACTGCGGAACCTTCCTTTGTCAGTCCATATTTTATTCTTTTGTATATGAATACAGTACTAGTTTATATTGATATAACATAATATATTCCCCTTCTTCGTCTACCAAAAATGTGAGAATTGCATTTTGTTATTTATTTTAGTTTTTCTAGTTTTCAGTAAGAATTGTTTTAAAAAATAGCGGAGTGGTTACGGTATTCATAGTAAAGTCACCTGTTCAGTCCTGAGTAAAGTCTGCAGCTTTTTGGTAGTTCAAAATTGTTCTAAATCCCAGCATCATTGGCTTTAATAAATGATCCTGGCCAAATAGACAGTAGATCTTAGTCTGTAACAAAGCTATGCAGACCATTTTACTCCAAACTTTATCTGCACTCAACTTCATTCATATTCATTTTAAAATACACTCCTAGATGGTGTTGGCCTTAGTGTCTCTCTAGTAACTATTATAATAATAATATAATAATAATATTTTACTCTTTTAGAACTCAACGAGACGTGGGAGGACAAATTGAAGAAGACGGAGATAATCCGCATCCAGAGGGAGGCGGTGTTTGCAGAAATGGGAGTGGCAGTTAAGGAGGACGGCATGACAGTTGGAGTGTTCTCTCCTAAAAAGGTAGGACAGTTTACCCTCATACAAAATCTCGTGGTATAATCAAATATGATGTGATATTGTATCCCATATGATGTTATATTATAATATCATTTGAGGTAGATAATTTGTTATCATAGCTTGTGATCTAGTGGAAATAGACAATGTGAAAATTTGTAAATAGAAAATATTTTCTCAACCTTTGTTTGACAACGCTCTAACCATAGAGGTAATCACTTAACTCATTGACTGCGGCCTACGTTATTTAACGTAGTGAGGGACTCGCGCGCACGGCGGACTACGTTAAACTATGTAGCACTCCTAACTGTAAAGTATTGTTTCAGTGTGAGCTCAGCCTCAAACGGGGAATGTTGAGTCGCTTGCCGCTTGTTGTGCCAGTTTAATACTTCAATCCAGTATAATTCAATTTTAGATCCGATAATTCCATCGGGGGTGGGGAACTGTTCCAAATTTTGTGTAGTGTGGGTTTTTGTCTTTGATTTAGTGAAGTTGAATAGATTACAATTGTTACTGTAGTGCAGCATTGTGGAAGGAACCTAACCTCAAAATTATGCTTGACACCTTTTTTGCGGTATTTTTTTATGTATTTGGGTTTTTCTCCTTAGCTTTTTCCCTCCATTTGGCAATACTGAGCGAATGCTAGCAGTTTTTTAGCACTGCTATCCACTGGGTTCCTTTAAAACTATGTCCACAACCACTGGAACGCAGTACATGCTACAAAATGCCTCTCCTTTGGATTAGACTAAATTTAAACATTTTTGCGAACTCCATCGAGCATTAGTCACTGGCCGCGACCGACCATCGTGCAACCGCACCTAACGAGTTAATACACCTGTTGGACAATTGCGTATGTAATAACTTACACAAATTTCAGATTAAACTTGCTTATTGTTCTAGTATTTAAAACAGGTTTTTAATCAGTTTGTTTTTATGTTTGCAGACTCCACATCTAGTGAACCTCAATGAGGACCCGCTCATGTCAGAGTGTCTGTTGTATTACATCAAGGACGGCGTGACTCGTGTCGGCTCGGGCTCGTCCAACATCACTCAGGACATCCAGCTCAGCGGGCCGCACATACAGAACGAGCATTGTACATTCGAGAACAAGGAAAGCGTGGTAAGTCATTTGTAATTCATTTTTTCTTCTTTTATTCATGTTTGTAAATTAAGGTATCCAACAAGCTATCTTTGCAGTCAAGCAAGACTACGCCGTGTTGTTTACTTCATCCACTACTATTATAGCCAATTTCCCATTAGTCTCGTCATGGTAGCGAATAACGAGGGAAAATCATTGCTCCTGCTAAATATGAATCGTCTACTGTGCTTAGAAACACTACTGTGCAGAACTTCTGTCAGAGCTACTATGTCAGAAAGGTCCGCTTATGAAATCCTTTTAAAAAATGTGCATAAGTAGGGTGTTTGCAGAGGGTTGCACACATTGCACAAGGCTGGGAATATTTTACTTTGAACTGATCAGAAGGTCATGGTGACAGGAAGTTGATGTTTAAGAAAAACAATGCATTTTCCAAAACCAGCAAGTAAGCAGAACTCACCTGTGATTAGTTCATGTCGTATGTTTGCAGGTGACACTTCAACCATTGTCTGGGGCTCTAATCTACGTCAACGGCCGTCAAGTCAGCGAGCCAGTCGTACTTAAACACGGCTCTCGCGTCATCTTGGGCAAAAACCATGTGTTCCGCTTCAACCATCCTGACCAGGGTGAGATAATTTTGTGTCAATTTGATTGATTTTTTTTGTATTTTATGGCTAAGTAATAATTTCTTGAGTTTGATCTAAATGTATATTTAATAAGTGTGTTGATGGATATCAAAATTGTGTATAAAATCATTATGGTTTATAGACCGGCAATATGAAAACCTATGTATTATTGTTGGTTCAATATGTTGAATGTGACTAACTTTTATATGTTTTTCTAGCTCGAGAAAGGAGAGAAAACAAAATCAATGAATTAAACTCAGAAGAAATAAAAGAAGACAAAATTAAAGGTATTGTATACATATATTTTTTTCCTATAGTTGAAACTTATTCAGGTTCTACACAGTTGTGTGGAAGATTTTTCAATGTGATGTCATGAAGTTTCAACTCAGTAAATTTGACAACCAGTTTTCAAACAGTATGTTTTTATTGTTTGGAAAATGTTCAGAATAGTTTTTGGTAGGTACTAGTTTTATAGTTGCAACTGCTATAACTGCTATAGAGAGTTGATTTCTATGGAATATTTGTAAAACGTTATTGAGAATGGGGTAGGTTTAGAACATGATATTCAAAAGGGAATAAGATAAAAGTTGGCAAACAAAGTTTGATTGAGGAAAGAGTCAAACAATTATCATGTGCTAATAAAGGGATTACTTCATACAGTTTGCATCACGATTAGGAAACAGTCTTTTAAAAACCTCTAAGAATCTGGAATTTGATCCTTCCTTCGGATGAAGAAGTACCTAATAATAACAAGATTACCACACAGAGAACTTTATAGTAGTCATATAAGAAACAAACATTCTGAAAGGTAACAATAATTATGACAAAATGTTGGAAGGACGCATTGGTTTGCACAAGATGGTGGTTCAAGCAAGACAGATAACTCGAATATCTTATCAATTCAATGTATCAACTATCAAGTTTAGGATTATTATGTATGCACAAGGATAGGGATCAGCTAACTTACCTGGTAGATGGAGTCCAGATTAGCTTTGGTAACATACACAAAACCTTTTAAATTTGAACGTTAACTGCCAGTCTTCTTTCTTCTCCCTTCACTTGAAGTCCCTAACAGGGGCGAAATATTAAGTTTTACTGTTTTGTGTGTTTTGTGTGTGTTACCAAAGCTAATCTGTACTCTTATCCGCCAGGTAAGCTAGCTGATCCCTATCCTTGTACATAATAATCCTAATCAGCGTGGGTTTTTCCTTAATTTCCAACTATAAAGTTTGTTTATGCACAGAGAAATCACCAGCCGAAACACCCAACAACGGAGAGACTGTGGATTGGAACTTTGCCCAGATCGAGCTGCTGGAGAAGCAAGGCATTGACCTGCGAGAGGAGATGCAGAAGCGGCTGGCCACGTTGGAGGAGCAGTTCCGTAAAGAGAAGGAGTCAGCTGATCAGGCCTTTGAAGAACAGAGGAAGGTTAGTTGTGGCAGCTGGGTATATGAGTGGATATTGCTTTGCTAGTAGGCCAATAAATACAAACCCTTTAAGAAGCTAAATGATTATGGAGAATAGTCAGACTGGAATTTTACCGTCAAAATGATCTTCACGTGGCCACCACTACGATCACTCGCGCGGTGGCCCCGCTACTGGTACTCTATTTCACTCTCTCTCTAAGCCGATTCTTTCCTTCACTCTCTTTCACTCAGTCAGCTGACTTGGTTGCGCACTCGCGATAGTCTACTGAGCAGCCGCCGCGGGAACTATCCAAAATTCAGATATTCCCAGACTGAAGTTTTAACAAAGGCATTGCGCTTCTTGAAGATAACTGGTACCGATCCTGAGAGAAGTCAAAATGTTTTTAATTATTTGGAACATGATCCAGCTGTCCTTGATGATTATCATTTTAATAAATTATCCTGGTTGAAGAACCAGCTGATACAAAGCTGTCATTTCATTCATTCAACTCACATTGTTTACTCTAGTGTGTTTGTAAAAACCTAATCTAATGAACAAGAAGAAGTTTTCGCAACACTAGGCACTTTGTCCATGCATTTGTATTGTGAGAGAGGTGGACTCCAAGTCCAAGCACGTCAACCAAAGCTTGGACCAGGAGTCCACCCTTCGTGTCCATGCATTGTTAGCAGATTTGGGTATTCATCCTCCTTGAACTATATCTTTGACTTTTAAAAGAACCGAAAAGTCGCATGTTACAGTTGTAGCCAGTTTCAGAGCAAAACTGAATAAAGTTAAATTTAGCCATCAACAGTAAGCTGATGAAAATGATAGAGTATTGTCTTACGCCAAATTGTTGAGGAAATCTAGCTAAAGGGTATTATACACTATAGCATCTTTTCTGTGACATCAACATTCACAGTAGCAAATACTAAGGAAGAAATAGAACTGTAGACAGCAGCACACTATGTGAGTGACTGATTGGACTATGTTCTCATTTTTTGTAAAAATGTCAACAGCAGGTACGTATACAGGGTGTTTGGTAGTAATTTAAGACATTATTATGCCTGCAAATAGGGATAATACTACTCAATTCGGAGAGTTATATCTCACTCCTGTTATATGACAAACTCATTTGCACATGAAGTAATCATCATGTTTATTATTTTAGTGATTTGTTTATAGTTTCCCATTGGCCGTCATAAAATTTATGGCTATGTTGTTGTTTCAGAACTACGAAGCAAGGATTGATGCGCTACAAAAACAAGTTGAAGAACAAAGTTTGACCATGTCAATGATCAGCTCTTATACCCCAGAAGATTTCAGCAATGAAGATGGTATATTTGGTAAGTTCATAGTTTTTTTTATATTCATATTATTTTTTTTTTAATAAAGCAAGTACACAAAATGTTGTGGTTTTCCTACCAGATCCAATACTATGCACACTTTGGTTGTTTGAAGCTTGATTTTATGAATTATTTTCAGTCAATCCACTATTTGAAGCCACCTGTAACTGGACTGATCGAGAGTATCAGTTAGCCTCTTGGGCTTACCGCAAGTGGAAGTTCCATCAGTTCACATCCTTGCGAGACGACCTGTGGGGGAATGCAATATTCCTCAAGGAAGCGAATGCTATTTCTGTAGAACTCAAGAAAAGGGTAAGACAAATCTGAGAGGTTATCACCAATAGATTTGATTAATTTTCTATATCTTATCCGTATGGGAATGGTGAAAACTGTCTGGAACTAGAACTGGTCCACAAACAATCTCCCTCTTGTAATTTTGTATTTAGCAGCTCCCGATTCTTAAATTCCAGTTAGAAATAGGTACTTTTATAAATTACATAGTTAGATAATGTTTTTTTCTACAACACATATAACTGTAGATATTTATGCCATGAAAATATTCTTATTAATGTTTGAAAGCTACTTAACTATTTATTTAGAAACCAACAATAGCAGGTCATGAACCAGTTCTGGCCCACCTGACCTCCAAAGTTTTACAATATGGCTCTCGAGGAAAAAAGGTCGGAAACCGCTGCATTATATTTTGACGTTGATTGTATACAGTAGCTCTAGGGACCGACAAAATATTTGAATTGAAAAAGCTGTCAACTTAAGGAAGTTCCACAATCTTAACATATGTAATTATAGTTAGCTGTTGTATGAGGAGAACACTTAACTCAGTAAAGGTGTTTTAATAGATTTATCATTGTTTACAGCCTAACTGAATGTTATCACTTACAGGTGCAATTCCAATTCACACTGCTCACCGACACACTCTACTCCCCTCTACCTCCAGACATGATTCCAGTGGCCGAGGATGAGGCGGAGGAGGAGGAGAGGCCGTTCCCTCGAACCATTGTTGCCGTCGAGGTCCTTGACACCAAGAACGGGGCGACTCATTACTGGACCCTCGAGAAACTCAGGTACGGTCATAGTGGCAACGGTTGAAAATTGTGTTTTTCCAGCATGTTAGAAGATTGCTACCCTTTGTGTCTTAATAAGCTTTTAGTTTTTAGGATTGATTAAACAGTTGGATGTAAAGCTGTGTGTTTTGGTTTAGATTTAGGTTGGATGAGTTTTAGTTGGCTAGTTACTATTTTTCATGATAAATTTTGGGGAAAAAAACTCCCAAACTATACCTTAATGATCACTGTTAGATCATTAACAACAAGCTAATTCTTTTGCAGTAAGATTTCATTTTGTATGGTTGTAAACTTTTTGTAGTTAGTTGCAGAAAATGCTTTATTTTACCAACAATACTTAACCTCAAAATTAAAAGTCTCTTATCTAAGTTTTATTAGCAATAAAGTGATATAAGTTTATGACAGTATCCTTTTTATTTTTTTTTATCTTTTGCACATCTTACTTTGGGCCTTTGTTTCAAAAGACAAGCTCTTTAAAAATCACACAACACATGCTTTGCTATTGCACAATAACTTTTGAAAACATTTTTTGTTAGATCATTTTGCTTTATTGCGCGTAACAATTTGTCTAAAATTATTTTTTTTTCAAATTTGCCACAATGTTTTAGCTGTACCAAGATTCAGCCTGAAATTCAAATAAAGGTCATACTTGTCTTATATAACACGGTAACCATATTTTTCTCATTAAAATTTGTTCATAAAAATGTAATTAAAATACCCCCGCCGCAGCAAACCTGCCGTCTAAGCGAATTTCCATTTGGCCGAATTGATTTTCAATTGATCTATTTAAATAACATTAGGTTTAACGAGTACCTAGGTTTGCTGCTACAAGGAAACTAATAAAGTAGTGTGTTTTTAGTAAAATATTTATAGCTTACTATAAAATAAATAAATTTGCCAAGTTTGATCAAAATATATCCATAAACAAGCAAACTACAACATTTTACAATATTCTCCATAAGAATAACATGGGAATTTTAAATTTACCATTTTTTTAGTTTTGTCCGTAACCAATAACCGTACAAAAACACTTTGATATACTGAATTGTTTGTTTTTTTAAGCTCTTTAAGAAGGTTTAGAGAAAAATTGGGAAATTTTGTGTTTTGAGGGTAAGAAGTGAGAAAAACCAATTTTTACCCCATAAAACCCCCCATAAAACCCTGTTCCCATAGTCCGATCATGCTGGATCGCGAACTCATTCAAGTTTATCCCGCCTTACACCTTCAAACCAAATTTCATCAAAATCGGATAAAAATTACTCAAGTTATCGTGTTCACGGACACATATATATATAAATCTATATATATATATATCTATATATATATATATATATACATATATAAAAATTTGAACGAATGGTGTTTTTGGCCTCTGGGGACATTAAAATGAAAAAGTAAATCGGTCCCGGGCCTAAGTCTTACCATGAGACCTACGGTAATAGCTACTTCCCTATAGGGAAATTCGCTAAAACATGAGACAATAAGTTGAAAAATTTGTTTGTATGTTGTAAAGAAGTTCACTCGTTTTAACTCCGTTAGTTCTTCAACGTAAAAATAAAATGCTGGACGGGATCATAAACAAACAGATTTTGAACAATTTCAAAATTACTCTAAATTTCCAAAAATAAAAATACCAAAAAGTGCCAAATAGTACAAATCCATTTTAACACCTTTGATATTCCAATGTTATAATGCTATTTGTAAAGACTGGTATAAATTTAGAAGTTGGTACTCTTATATTCTTAAAAACAAAAACTAATTAAAATAATTTATTCCTAATAAAAATCAAACCATCCTGATGAAAAAATATATTTAATCAAAGAGTTACATTTTGATTGTACAATATTATATCTTTAAGCTTACTGATGTTAAAATGTGTTGTTTTTTCATGCAAGCTTTGCTTTTATCTTGTTAAGGCTAAAAATATCAAGAACTGTTGCACAAACATAATATTTTTAAAGATGCTCTTTTTGGCTTGGGCTCTTGAGAAGAAAAGATTTAATTTATAAAAATATTGTTTTTTTTTTTTATTAATTAACCAACAAGGTCACTGTTAATTTCCAAATAATGACTTAAAATTATTTACTTTTGATATACTAAGTATAATTGTATTTATTCTGGTTTATTTTTCAAATGTATGATCAGTTCTTACAGTTTTGTTTAACACTAATAAAATAATTATAAAAACTATTAAAACCAGTTGACGATGGCAATCTCTGCTATTGCTAAAGACGTATGATAATTCCCTCTTGATTTTTTCTACACTTATTACATCACTCATGATATCCCCCCCCCCCTCTATTAATTCAACTATCAGATCTAGTTGATGATAGGCCTACTGTGTTTTTTCATAAAAACTTGGATGGTTGAGTAATATACAGTATGATTGATTAATACCATATATACTCATTGATATTGCTAAGTTTAACAATATAGCATGCTTTGGCTATATAATTTTGTCAAAACTAATTTAGTTATACTTTTATTGATATTTCATTCTGTTATAGATATATTTATTACTCTATTGTTATATTTTAAGTTGTGTGTTTGTCCAAATTGTTAGTAGATTTATTGTTGTTCGTTATCACTTTTAATATGTTATTTTTTCCAAAACCATGTTATAAATTGCACCCCATCATCATTGTTTTGTTTCATTTAACTGATTGGTTTTCTTTATAATTCTATCCCTTTGAATTATTGTTCAATTACTATTTACTTCCCTTCAAACCCAGCGTACTAAAATTTTTTTTGACAAATTGCAAGTTTTTTTATCAAAAAAAAAGATTTGCGAAGTTTATAATATATGGCGTAAATAACAACTCAATGAGCTACATTATTCACACTAATATTTTCAAATTGGCCATAAACTAAAATGAAAAACCAATTATGAACAACTCATAAGTTACTATAACAGGGTGGCCACAGACCGAGAACTCCAGGAAAACCGGAAGTTTTGTGTAAATTTGTGGTCCTTGGTAAAAGTCGGAATTCGGGAACTATGCGAGAATTTAGAAAATTTCACTAGGATTATGATGCTATTTTGTTATAATAAAGGTTTAAGAGGAGTTTAAAAGGTTTTGACACCCAGCAACGTACTGTATTTGCTTGTGAAAACACTCATAAAACTCTGTTAGCACATGAAATACCTTGACTGTTATAACTTTATGAACATCGTTTGCGGTCACGACAAAATCTTTAACGTCTTCCGCAGTTTAGAACGAATAGTCAATTATATCTTTAGCGAGTGTTGGTGAAATCACAAACACCTTCTACGGTCACAAAAAATATAGATCATCTTCTGCGGTCATGGCAAAACTGTGTCCATCTTCTGTGGTCACGTCAAAATCGTGATCATCTTAGGAGGTTAAGGTAAAATCGTGATCAACTTCTGCGGTCACAGCGGCATCATCATTTCCCATTATCACGAAAAACAATGAATAACCACCTGCGATCGCAGAAATATACGCTTGGCTTGGCTAAACTTGACCCGAGCTTGACCTGATAATCATTTTTGCCGTCTGTTGGCCTGACTCGACCCCAAAATGTCGGGGATCTACAGACCCGTGATAAAAAGGTAAACTTGGCGAATGGAAACCACAACCGGAAAAAACCAGGTGTTGCTGCTGGGAAACCAGGAAAAATGTGTGAATTTTTTCCCAGGAGTTCTGTAGCCACCCTGTATTAAATACGGTGAAACTGTAAATAGAATTTTTTTAATCCACACTTCATACATCTCGTGTTTTGAAACGCATCAATTTTTTTACGTATAAAACATACCATGTTGATAAAGAAGTTGCTGTGTAGTGGTACGTTTCTAATGAGATTTCGTTTTGTTAGACATCGGTTGGAAAAGATGCGCCAAATTTACAATGAGGATCTTGATAGCCCCGACACACCTGAACAACTTATCAAGGAGGACTTTATCCAATGCCTTTCATTCTGTGCCCATCAGAAGCACTCACTATCCAATCTTGTCCCCTCGAGGTTGGTTCTCTCGTTGTTCTGTGTTTTACTTTCTAATTTATCTTCCCTCTTGCTTTCATAGCAGCATGCTCTTTGTTTTGTTTTGTTTGATCATTATAGCCCTCTCGTTTCTTCTTGTTTTCGCTATTTGGCAGCACAATCTTCAAACTGCTACTGTACATAGCTATAATTATGTTAATGTGATACTGTAAAGTGGATGTATATTTAATTCTGTCTTAATAAACGACTGTTTTACATTGGTGATAGGAATATGAGTCATAAAGTTAAATAGTATCACTTTAAATAAAATTAATTGTGAAAAAGTTTGAAATTCAGGGATTTTTAAACATAATTAAATTTAAAATAATCAATCATTTAAGCTTTTCTACAAGATGTTAAAAACTAGTTCTCCTTAGGTTTGACTGCATTTGGAACAGGTAAATCAAAATAAGAATCAGAAATTGAAGGGAACTATGTGAACCATACTGTTTTAGCTAATTTCAATTTGTTAAGGCTCAATTACACTTTTACATGCTACAATATAGCTGACACAACTTGTAAACTATCCCAGTGTACTTTCTGCACTTCTTCAATAACTTTTATTGAAAAAGCTCTGGAAAAAGTTAACTCTGTACAAGATGTACGGAGTATAGTAGGTGGGCCAGACTGAGCGAGCTGCACACGATGACCTCACTGCATACCACCCCGACGTGTCACATATGTTGACAAAGAAACCAATGACAAAAAAACACATCTCAACATGTCTCACGAGCCTAGGCAGTGAGCACCGCCAAGTATCACATCATCACATGCAGCCCCCTCAATCTGTCTCACCTCCTATACCCCATACACCATGAACTCTGCCAGCAAAGTTACATACCGAGGACAAGTTTACTAGATATTTTTTGCTAGAATATAAGACTGGTTTAAATATTGAATCAATACATTGGCATGTAAACTAATAATTGCGCTATTAATTGCATCAAACGTTTTGCTGTAGGTTTAGTCACTTTTTTTCACTCCATATTATCTTTACTTTTTGATTCCATTGAAATTTCTTGAGCATTCTACCAACTCATCATATTCTGGACTGCACAAGTTAGGTTAGGTTATGGACTTATGGTATGTTATTATACAGGGTGAATTTTAAATGAGTTCCCCCCCTACTTTTTTCTACATTTCTTAAGATATCATCTTCGGACCACGTCAGATCATTGTAGTGTAGTAAGTACTTCATTTTGACAGGGTAAACATTTTTGGACGCCATCTTGGATCCGCCATATTGGATACAAATTTTTTTTTCAAATGTAAAGGTAGGGTTGTGACCCATTGTTTCAAACTAGAATTTTACGCTGATTACAATGCCGCAATTAGTTTTTAAAAATCTTGATCCGTTCTAAAGTTATTAGGACATTTTATAACTTTATTTTTAGCCCATTTTAACATTGTTAATTTACAAACTAAGACCATAATCTCAAAATACTACTAGATAAAGATAAGTATACACCACCATTTATTGTCGACCTATTTTCACTTGGTTATGACGGATGTATTTTTTCGGCCGCCATCTTGGATCTGCCATTTTGAAATGTGATAAATTAATTTAAATATGAAGGTGGTGTTGTGACCCATCATTTTCAACTAATTTTTTATGCTGAACTCAATGCCGCAATCCGTTTTTGTCTCTCAGGCTTTCTTGATTAAATATTAAAATTATCTTACTTAAATTTCCAATATTCCAGAAAACAAATATGAAAATGCAAAACGGATTGCGGCATTGAATTCAGCACAAAAAAGTAGTCTAAAATGATGGGTCACAACACCACCTTCATATTTAAATTAATTTGTCACATTTCATAATGTCAGATCCAAGATGGCGGCCGAAAAAATACATCCGTCATAACCAAGTGAAAATAGGTCGACAATAAATGGTGGTGTATACCTACTTTTATCTAGTAGTATTTTGAGATTATGGTCTTAGTTTGTAAATTCACAATGTTAAAATGGGCTAAAAATAAAGTTATAAAATGTCCTCATAACTTTAGAACGGATCAAGATTTTTAAAAACTAATTGCGGCATTGTAATCAGCGTAAAATTCTAAATTGAAACAATGGGTCACAACCCTACCTTTACATTTGAAAAAAAAATTTAGTATCCAATATGGCGGATCCAAGATGGCGGCCAAAAATGTTTACCCAGTCAAAATGAAGTACTTACTACACTACAATGATCTGACCTGGTCCGAAGTTGATTTCTTAAGAAATGTAGAAAAAAGTAGGGGGGGAACTCATTTAAAATTCACCCTGTATAAACGTGTGTGTATAGACCCTAGCTGCTAATATGGATAGCATTGGTACTTTGGAAACACATTTTAAATTTGAATTTTGTTATTTAAAACATTTACTCTTTTATTTATCTTTATGATCACTGTAAATAATTTATGACTATGACTTAGTATGTTAGGCCTTTTCGGAACCTAGTGTAACAGACTATATAAGATTTTGGACATTGTAACTTTGTTTTTCTCTTTTAACATTATGACACTTAGATAGGTACAGTACTACTATTGTTAATACATCCCTTCTGAATACCTTCTGAAAATTGTGCATCAATTGTTATGCAATGAAGAAACCCACTTTCACTATCATTTTCTTTCAGCTGTTTGACTGTAAAGTTGATTCAAGCTACAATACATTTTTCCTAGTTTGGATTTCAAGGTTAAAATTGGACTATTGTGTCCTTAATAATTATGCTCGCAAATGATTTTGGATAAGGAACCAACTGTTCTGATTCGGTAAAAATATAGATCATAATATGATATATAATTTATGATTAATTATCATCCTTTCAGAACTGACCCTAACATTCATCTTTATCTTCAAATATAATCTATCATCTTCATCTTAAAATATCATCTCTGCTGTTTTAGCACTTCACAAATCTAATTTAAGAATATTTTGTTAAATATCTTTCTCCGAGGCCTGTAAATTTTTTAAATTATTTTCTTTCCCTTGTACAATGTAGTCTTCCTTCATATGCATTGATAGTTTGTTTAGTTGGTCTCAAGAAGTAGATGGATTCACGTGGAAAAGAAGCGTAAAATACGAAATACTGTATATTGTTTTTTTAATCTTGAAAATACCATACTGTTAATATTATATATGTCAATGACATTCAATCTTCTCTCCTTATTTAGATAAGCTACTTACTGATAAATATAGACTGCTAAACCAGTTTTTAGGACTAACAGGTGAACTTTAATTGTCTAAACCCATATTCAAATTTCAGATCATATCTAACATACATGCAGCCTACATCTTTCAAATATCACAACCAGAACCAACTTAACAAAAAGGTTTAGAAATGCTAACTTAGCCTTTAAAATAAACTTGTAAAAGTTTTGTATTAGTAATTAAATATTTATAATAAGCATTTTTATATCACCAATCTTCGAGTTGTCTGAATGTTGGCTATCAGGATGATGGTGCCAATAAATCCAAGATATTGGAGTTCTACTGTATATCTTTTAATTATTTATGGCTTTTATAATTAAACTAGATTGGTTAGGTTAGAGTAAATATACTCACGTATCACAAAATAGCTAACATAACCTAAACCTTACTGTGCCAGCTGTTCTAGTATCCTCACTTATTAGCAGGTTGACAAAACCAATATTGATTTAATGTTGTTAGTTACGAACCTGTTTACATCATTGTTGCAGGCAGAGGCTAGAGTTGATGCGAGAGATGTATCTGAACGAGGCTGAGTTGTCCCCCACCAGCCCTGACTACAACATCGAGTCACTCACCGGGGGCGATCCCTTCTACGACCGATTCCCGTGGTTCCGCATGGTGGGGAGGTAATACCAACTTTCTAAAGTGCAATCTCTCTTCTGTAAATCGTCTCAATCGATCAATAGGTGTAAGTTTAGAAGGGCTGTAAAATCAAATTACTTACATGCCTGTGTCGTCACTGTTTTGGTGGCTCTAAGACTGGAGTAAGACATACACTTGTTTAATTTTTAATTTACATTGCTATGTTACATTGCACAGTTTTTTTTTTCAAATACAGTATTACTATAACAGATGACTTTTTCATTGTTATTCGCCACAGTAAGTTTAAAGAACAAATTACGAACGGTACAGTTCTAGCTTCAAGTGATGATAATAAATCAAATAATTATGATCACATAATTATAACTGACAAATGTATAAAAAATCAAAGATTTCCCTTCATTTGGCGAAATGATTAAACTCAGTGAGTCATTGAAGATTTGCCTACATTGTGTTGCGCAAAGACTAGCCAGTTCTTTAGGAAAAAACAATAAAACAGCAATCTTTGACTTTGTGCTCCGAGGTTTAAAATTCTGTTCCTCACTCGGAAGTTTAGTTGCATTTCCATTCCCAAATGACTGAAAATGCTTGAGTAAAGTCCATTGCTTCCAAGAAAAGTTATTCCTGCTACTTTTTATTGTAGCGTTAATATTAAGAAGCTATTCCAACAAAAAAATTGTGTGATAAAGTCCAATTATACCTGGAAGTAAAATGGGATGTTTAAAGTGTCATGCTGACATTATAATGTCCTATACGTCTCTGTAAGAATTTCTTCTAATCTTTCCCGTTTTATTTGCAGGTCGTTTGTGTACCTGAGTAACCTAATGTATCCCGTTCCACTGATACACAAAGTCGCTATTGTTAACGAGAAAGGAGATGTTAAGGGATATCTGCGTATTGCTGTGCAAGCTGTCAATGGTACGTTACAATTTTATGGTTCATTAAATTGGCATTACATTCAATTGTGTGTATTACAATTTTATGTTTTATTACTGTAAAATGATCTGAGTCGTATTTGAAATCACTACTTCACACGGGCTTGTTGAAAATCAATCATTAGTTAGCTGATTTGTTTTAATGAAAAACTATTATTTATTATTTTGGACCATGACCAACCCATCAATCACACATTGTAAAAAAAAGATACAATCTAATTATCAGCCTTGTGATCATGATGCATTTTAAGTACAATTTAGGAACCGGCTGGACTAGTGTTCTTTTTTTTTGTCCTAGGAAGCTAGGCAGCCCGTAATTGTTTTTCACATTACTTCAGGCTAGACCTAGGGGTTACGGCACTATCACTTAGATCAAATCCATTGTTGATTTGGCGGGATTTGAACCCAGGACCCCAGGAATCGGAGTCCCAAGCTCTAACCACCAGACCAGCTCGCTCCCCTGGCTGGACTAGTGTTAGAGCATATGACTTCTTTCCTACTGCTGGATAGAGGCTTAGAATAATTTGTAGTTTCAAGATCCTCATTGTAGATTTGGCTCATCTTTTTTTAAGCATGGTTTATGTACTAGACGATAAACTCTTAACCAGTAATTAGATAGATGAAAGTGACTTTTCCTCCATACTTAAGTTGGAAATGGTTGTCACTTACTGGATATGGATATGGTAGAGATCTCAGAGGCAGGAAACTGCAGTAATTAAGTACCTGAAGTTCAACAAATTCTGAATAGTGCATCAGGGTACACTTATTCCAAAAGCCAACAATGTGGCTGGTGCATCTTGGAATGCAGTCCTTTCCTAACAGTAATCAAACCTAAGTTTGTTATTTTTTGCAGACGAGGAGAGTGGTGAACACATAAGCGGAGTGAGGCAGTCGGCCAAGATAACATTTGACGACGACTACTTGTTCGGCCACTACCGGAACAAGAAGGCGATACAAGCGGAGGAGAGAGTGGTGGAAGGACACGCACACCATGAAAAGCTTGAAGGTGAATTGAAAACTTTGACGTGAATGTCGGTAGATTCATGACATTTTAGTAAAAAACTCCTAGACCTATATTAATGGTTTGCAATATTGATAATATGAATAAAATTAGCAATTGTCTTTATTGATTTATTTATGGATTCAATGTTTTTGTGTGTTGGTATCTTTAAAAAGAATCAAATAGAAATTAAACTTGAATGGTCACAGAGCAATGGTAACAAGACTCGCAAAAAAAAGGAAATTCATTTGAGATATTTAAATAAAAAGATTAAAGGGAAAATATCGAAAGAATTTCACCCCTACAGCAAAAATTACTTACCCAAGACCACCAAATACCACAAAGCTATGTGATACCACGACCATTTACAACTAGCCTGAGTAATATGTAAAACGTTTCCGAACTTGAGCTTGACCTCCTAGGATGAGAAGGAAGGAACATTAAACCAAAAAACTTGTCCCGTATTGCAGGAGACCTGGAGTGTGACGCAGACAGTGGCCGAGGAGACAGTTCCGTGTGCTCGGAGGCAAAGGAGGAAGAGTTACCTCCACACCTCGCAGTCAACAACGAGTTTACCTTCCGAGTCACTGTGCTGCAGGCGATAGGCGTCTCCACGGAGTACGCCGACATCTTCTGTCAGTTCAAGTGAGTGCTTGTGATACACGTGTTGGTCAATACAAGGTTTAAATTTGCATTTTTATTGTAACTTCTCTAATCTGTGTTTGACAAAAATATGTATTGTTGCCAAGTCGACAGTGTTAAGAAAAGTTACTGTAACTATTGGTGACAATCAGCTTGTGAAAAAATAATACATCACATAAATTTCTTCCTTTCCATTTTAATGCTGTAGGTTTCTGTTTAAACCTATATAATTAATATGCTAACACGAAATTTGTCCTTTGAACTCCTCCGCCATTTCTCTACCGATTTTGACCATTCACGTGTCATTGGAAAGAGCGTGACATGTAGATTTGCAAACTGACCTTAATTTTTTTCAAAAATACCCTTGGGCTCTGCCTCAGTGGCTTTTAAAGTTCCCATATTATCCTTATGAAGAGTACATTTGTTTACATTATGATCAGCTGGATAGTTTAATTTCTGTTATAACCTGCAATTCAAGAAAACGCGTGCTACAAACATGAAATTTTACTGGATTTATGATAACTGCAGAGGAAAACCCTCTAAGGCTAAATAAAACTGGTACGGCAAGGACATTAAATCTGTATGTTTCCAAAAAGTTAAGTGATTTAGTGATTTTTTAAGAATATGATTACATCTAAAACCCCTTTACTAAAACTTTCGTTGAAGGATTCAATTATTATTCACAGTTAAGGGAAACAAAAATCTATTTAAACAACAACAAGCCTTTTAACTCTGCATATCGGGTAAACACAATTGACATTATTACAGCAACTAACCAAAAGAATGCCAGTTGAAACAAAAAAAATTGTGACAGACAGGTTATGCAAGGATATCATATCAGGTAGTTCTTAAGTAATGTGCTTTTAATTAGCTAATTTCTGTGTGTTCCAGCTTCCTTCACAGACATGATGAGGCATTTTCTACCGAACCTGTCAAAAACACTGGAAAAGGAACACCACTTGGATTTTATCATGTTCAAAATGTACGTTTAATGATTTATTTTAATATTAAAACAGACATCCCACTTTTTTGACCAACTATGTCAACATTTTCACACAAAGAAAACATATTTAAATTAGTGTTACTATTGAGGATCTATTTTATCTATAGTTTTACATCCTTCGATAATCAGGAGAAGGCATAGGAGATGCTATAGTTTAAAATTTGATGCCATCTCAGATTTTTATGATTTAAAACTGAATGTATAAGAATTAAAATAGTACTTTACACCATATATCGGATCATCTCACTCTTTTGATGGCTTAATTTCAGGTTAATCTTTATTCTAAAACTGACTACAATTTGAAGAGAGCAATAGAATATCCTTGGTTATAAGTGAAGGACTTTCTTGTTGCATGATTGTGTCCCTTAAGTTGTGAATTAAATCCTTTATTTTAGTTTTACTTTTAAATTTTGAAAGTTGTTAAAATAAATCATCTCACTGTTAGCTGAATTCTTTTTGGAAATTTTAAAGGCCTATTGAACTTTTCTTACATGTATATTCTAAGTTTCAATATTGTCTATTTTCTCTTATTGTAGCTTATTTTTCCCAGATCACTGTGTCAGTCACCAAGTCGTTTGTGGAGTACATCAAAACACAGCCGATAGTGTTTGAAGTGTTTGGACATTATCAGCAACACCCGCTACACAGGGATGCCAAGCAAGAAGGCCAGTGAGTATCCGACATTTTTTTAAAGTGGTTGGCAGCCGCTTTTAACCTTGCATTTGTCTGTCTACATAGGCTACGGACCTGTCAAATCAAATCATCTTAATTTCACAGTCTACATCAATCAATCAGTGCATGGAATGGCATCAAAAACTATATCTAAAACTTAACGTAAAGAAAACAAGTCTATGAGAAATCTTAGAGAAACCTGTGCATGGAATGTATCCAGTAAAGCAAGGTGTGAGCCGGTTCAGTGCTAGGGTGAAACATGCTGATGAAAAGTATTGGCAGGTAATACAATCCAAACCCATGTCATCGCTGCCTTGGGCCTGAAGTCTGTGGCGTTACCGACTGAGCCACTGACTCAACAGTTGACAAAAACTATTGACTTACTTTTGACAACTACACTTTTACACATGTTAGGGCACATCATGTTATTAAATCGGGGCAACATTTTATCTTTCATTTTTTTAAACTTCTGTACAAGCACTTATTTTGCTGGTGCAGGGGAAATAATTTTGGATTATCGGTTTTTGGTGAGCCAACTTTGTCTTGTTTAGCTATGGAGTTATATAAAATGTGTTAACCATGTAACTAAACTTCATCTACACTCTAAATATTTAGAATTTGTAATTTGTCACTCAAAATCAATATTACCCAATTTTATTCTGGATATTTTCAATTCAATCACATTCATTACAAATCATTTAAGCACCTTTTTTCAATGTTGTATCGAATAGGCCTTTGGATTTTGTCATATCCCTTCAAAACTCCATTTCCTCCTTAATCTGCCAATTTCAATCCTCTTTTCCCTACTTCCCGTTTTACTTCATCTACTAAGCTTCTTCTAGATTTTTCTCTGTGTCTCCTTCCGTCTATCACTATCAACTCCGTTTTTATAAGAATATTTATAAATACTTACTCATATACAAGCTCCATTCAATAAGTGGCAGGACTAATTCACTGTAGCCCCAGCAGAGCAGTAAAGGGTGGTCCAATGGCTGGGTTCGATAGAGGGGCCATTCGACACAAAGGGCGTGACAAGACAATGAAAAAATACTCGGCACAAATATCGACCTCCTGTCTCAACAAATGCCCGTAGGGGACTGAATGGTGAAGGACCCCTCAATCGAACCCAACCGGTTGGACCCCCCTCCACCGCTCTGCTGGGGCTACAGTGAACCAGTCCCGATACTTATTGAATGAACCATTTACGGTATATCAGAGTGTGTTCTACATGTATGGTATTGTTTGTTCTACAGTGTTCGCCAGCCTCCCAAGAGGATGTTGCCACCGTCTATCCCCATTAGTCAGCCCGTCAGGTCTCCCAAGTTTGGAGTGTTACCATCTCCTTGCACTTCCCACGTACATGCCAAGTATGACGTTCTCGTCTGGTTTGAAATCTGCGAGCTCGGTGAGTCTGAAATTGGTTTTTGTTCCGTGTGTATTGGAAATAAAATCCTATACAAAGTATAGTGGTCTTTGAAAAGTGTGTTGTTAATGTAGAATTGTAGGGTTAGGGCTGTTTTTTTAACAACAAATATTTTAAGTAAGCTGCTTTGTTTGGCTTCCAAGACATATTCTAGCAGTAACTAAAGTGGTTTGTTCTTAGGCCAGTTAAGATAACTATAACAGATAAAACATCAATTGTAAACTATCCTATTGTAAATCTTAAGTTTATCTTATTGCATTGGATGTCTAAAACACTTGAGTGTTCTATGTTATTTTAACCATATAAAACATGGATGTAGTTGTGGTCGATAAAGTGATTGTTTAATTTTTTGTTTTGTTAGTAATAGTATTTAGATTAGGCAAACATTCTTCTAGAGTTTTTCCTCTTTATTTAATGTCTAACTTGCTTATCTTCACAATCCAACCCATAGCTTATCTACTCTGTATGTCTCAGCGCCCAACGGTGAGTACGTGCCAGCCGTGGTGGATCACAGTGATGATTTGCCGTGCCGAGGGTTGTTCCTGCTTCACCAAGGAATACAGAGGCGTATCCGCATCACTATCGTCCACGAACACGCTCCAGAACTGCGCTGGAAGGATGTACGGGAACTGGTCGTTGGTAGGTCTAGTCACTTTGATGTATTTGCTTTTAAGTTCACCTGTTGCTCACTTAGAAAATTGTAAATGACGTTAGATAATTTTCAAAGAATTAAAATAAATTTAAGTATGACCTCAACATAAAGGAATATAGGACTTATTCCCAAAGCCACTTAAGGTTGTCTTATAAATTGAAATCAGGTTGAAAGAAAATAACTCTAAAATTGCCTGCCTAGTTAAAGAAAGAAACTATTAACAACCAACACTTTAAAATAAGTACAAGTTTTAATGGAAAAATCTACCTCACACATGTAAGGGATAGACAATAGACATACCATATTTCTTCTACTTTGACTATACCTCATGAATCGGAATTTCTTCATGATCTTTTATTGTAATAGAATTATTTCTCTAAAAAAATCCATTTGAAAAAACTTATAAGCTACAGTACCTTCAAAACTGTAAAAATTTCTTAAATTACTATGCCTCAACATTTTTCCAGGGATTGGATTTGTAAACTTACTTTGCTAATCACCTCCTTGATCATATATTAGGAGAGCTATGAATTCAAGTTGATCTTGTGTCTCTTTATGCAATTACAATATACAGAATGAACTTATTGTGTATATTATACTGTACTGTACAAAATAATTTTTTATCAAATTTCTATAATTCCTCTTGTTAAATTCCAGGTCGTATCCGGAACACTCCTGAGCCAGAGGAAGAGGACAACGACAGCTCCGTGTTGTCCTTAGGGTTGTTCCCCGGAGAGCTGGTAGAGATCCCAGGCGATGACCGGGTCATGTTCCGGTTTGAGGCAGCCTGGGACTCCTCCCTACACAACTCCCCTATGCTCAACAGAGTGTCAGCCTACGGAGAGCAGATCTTTATGACCATCTCCGCATATATGGAGGTACGGATGGTTACTAGTTAAGTATCTGCTTTTTGGTGGTGTAGTGTAATCGTTAAGAAATGTCTTCACATTGTAAACATGTAAATTTAAGGGAAACAGTTTTTTAGGTGAACATTTTATCTACTGTTTTTTTGGTTGGGGATTTTTATGTCTATTTTTTTAAGATGACTGGTTTAACCTATTTTTAATTATATTATTAAATGAAATTCATTTGGAGATAGCTACAAAGTTTACCGTTGGACAGTAAGTCCGCTCAGTCACTACCAATGTCGTAGCATCTTGAAAATCACCTCCAAAGGTACATCATGAAGTGTCTACTTTGACCAACTTCCTAATGGACTATTCTTCTGACCTCAATGAAAAAATACTTTTAAATTATGCTTTTTTCTTCTTTTCAGTTGGAGAATTGCGGCCGGCCAGCCATAGTCACAAAGGACCTGAGTATGATTATCTACGGACGAGACGCACGTGTCGGGCCACGCTCTCTCAAACACCTGTTCTCCGGTAACTACCGCAACGCCGAGGCCAACCGTCTGTCCGGCGTGTACGAGCTGGTGCTGAAGCGGGCGTCTGAAGCAGGTAGTCCAGGTAGCAACCCTTAGATGCGCTCTCCCCCCACCCTGCCTCTGCACACTGGCTGACTGTCTACGCACCTCGGAAACTTTACCATTGTCTTTCTATTGCACCAGTTTTGATGCCAGTTATTTTCTAAGGGGAGTAAAAAATTTTCCCTGTAGAGTAAAAAAAATAAATAAGAGAAGACAATTTTTAAATTGGTATTGTGTCCTGTAGGAAGGATACAAAGGAAGGAGTGTTTTATGTACTCATTTATAAAAACCCATTATAAATGTCAATCTTCTAGATAACTCGACAAACCCCAAACTTGACAACCTCAGGATCTACAAATAGTCTAGTTAGTGAGGACTTAACTGTATTGAATTAAAGTGATACTCATTGAGCTTACTTTCATCAACAATAATGTATAATGCATTCCATAATCTATGAGTGTAATGAAATAATTTCTTTGTGACTTTGATCACTACTATCTACAGATCTTGGAGTGTGTTTTCACTGTGTTTTCGCATAGTCTATTATGTAAAATGAACTGGCTTAAACTTTTTTTAAACAGAAGACTCAAGTTTTGTGAGAGCCTGACAGTCCGCCATTGTGTATTTAGTGTGGCATGTGTTAGTTGTATCTTATGTTACACCCTGGCAGTATGTTGCCTCTAGTTGTAGAAGCAGTGTGTGTCATTGCCGTTGATACACTGATGCCAGCTTCATAAAGTTGTGCAAAATTGTATCGATACTTCAATTTTTCCTGGTTTTAGAGCTCAAATCGAAAAATTTGTGTGCTTTTTAGAACATGGAGAAAATTTTTTGCTAACTAGTTTCCAACTTTTTTCAGGTAAAAAACTATATGTCTCATATTGTCTCATTCTTTATTAAGTTAATTCGCATTGTAGTTTTGTGCATTGCCATTGCATTTTAAAATTGATTCATCAAAAGTTGTGACACTTTTATAAACTGTGTTGCAACTGGCATTAATGTGCCAACAAAGCTTTTATTTGCCGCCGTAGCAAAGATTGGTCTTTAAAGAGCTTTTTAGTGCTAAATTTGTAGATTGTTTCATATTTTGCATCAATTCACCAATTGCTTCTAAATAAATAAATGTCTTATTCAAGCTCAACACATTCTCAATTCTCATTGGATTAGTATATATTGTTAAGTTTTTTTTTTCATTTTCTGGTTTAAAATTTAAAAGACAGGATAAGTTTAACAGTCCATACATCAGAGAAGTCACAAACTTTATTTTAGTTACTTTATTTATTCATAGTGGTATTATTTTCTTGGGAAAAATATTGAAAATTGTGTTATTACTTGTTCACTAATGCGATACTCAAGATAAAAAGATGATTATTTGATAAATTGTTGTATAAACATCTTAAAACTACTACTATTTGTCATACTACTCAATCTGTAAGCTCCGCCTATTCTGAAATCGTTACAGAGTTGGGTCTTTTCCTACCAGCATTGACTATTGAATACTGAAGTAGACGTCCCCATCTATATGGACCAGCTGACGCAACTTTTTCATAAAAAAAGAACATAGTTGTATGAGCTAGTCACAGAATGTGATGGTGTCTAAAATTATATTTCTTATCTTATTATTTGTTGCTGGCATAGTTGATGGATCATAAGAGTTGCTATAGCTCACTCACAATAAGTCATTCACCAGTTTGACTTGGTAAAAGAGTTCATGTATTCGATAGAAATTAGTAATTTAGACCAGCGCAATCTGTCGGTGGCTCACATCAACTATGTCGATATTGTAAAAAAACTGGCAACCACTTTAACACGGGGATAAGATAAACTTTAACTAGTTGTATCAATAATCAATGCTACCAGCAACAGTTATTTCTTTTTCGTTTGGTTTTTCGACTATGTTTGTTTACTCATCTACTTAAAAACTGTCAGTTTTCGTCGTTGAACTATTTTTTCTTGTCACCAAAAGTTTACCTGCGTTTAAGACTATTATAATAATTGTGTTTATAGTTAATAGTCTTAGACGTAGTTAATTTATTAACTACACGTGTTATGTCTAACCCGAATTAAAATTTTGAATCCACCTATCTCCAAGAAAGGATTTGAATTTGTGATTCGATCAACTGGTTTTGAGAGTAAAATCTCAAACCCCTTATTCTATTTCACCGGCCATTTTTTTTTTTTTTTTTTTTTTTTTTTGTTACTAAAACCTAACCATTTCTTCAAGGCAGTAACCGTATTAATTTTTATCTTTTGGGAATTTGTTCATCAAAATTCTTAGAATATTAATGGCTATGATACAATATTCTCACAATAGCTCTGATATTATTCAACGATTCTGAAATTTTGGCGTAAACCGTTTTGAAATCAATTACAAGTTTTACAATTGATTTAAGATCAAGTAAACACACAGCAGATTCTCCATTTTATTTTGTAATTGCTGTATTTGGATTTGATAGGACTCAGTTATTCAGGGTTTTAATTCTATATTTTAAATTCTTAAATGTGATACAGAATAGAAGATTTGAGCATCCCCAATCCCCAACATCCACCCAAGCTGCTGCAACCCATGCATTTGTTTAAGCAAGAAAGTATTAAAGAAAGTTATTAAATTTTGTTTGTGAAATTTAAATAATCTAGGGATTTTGCTAAGGAAATCTTGGGGTGTTATGGGTATTGCAACAAATCATCATGATTGGAAGAAATGGTTAAAACTGAGATTCTGGCTAAACAAGTTTAGGAAGTCAGTCACAAGTCTTAAAATAAATAAAAATATAAGAAGTGTTATTAAGAATAGATTTTTTCAGCAGGTTCTGCATGATATTTTATACTTTAAGATTCATGCCTTTGTTTAAATTTAGGGATTGGATTGAAGATTTGAACATGAACCAAACTCGAGGGATGGTGAAGTTAGTCTCATCAACATTACCTCTCCTCTGAGGTTTATTTAACTAGCCGGTGCAACAGCGATTCAAGTGGATCTAAAAATCAATCCAGTGATGGCCTTTTTACTAAGGTTATGTATTTTGCACTGTTCCTCCGTAGGCGTACAGAGAAGACAGAGGCGAGTGTTGGACACGAGCTCCACGTACGTGCGAGGGGAGGAGAACCTACACGGGTGGAGGCCGAGGGGAGACAGCCTCATCTTCGACCACCAGTGGGAGCTGGAGAAACTCACTAGACTACAGGAGGTGGAGAAAGTACGACACACACTTCTGCTGAGGGAGCGACTGGGAGTGGACAAGGGACCCATCACCAAGTCTGAGAAGGTGCTATTGCTTTACCGATGATTAATGACTGAATGAGGAACCAGGCTATAATTATGTGGTATTTAAATCTGGCTCCCCTTCTAAACAAAGTTAAACTTTTCACTGTTATATTAATACTGCAAATCATATTAACAGTTTTAAGTAGGTAGGCCTAATTTTTTAAAGCCATACATACAAGAACACTCCAAATCAATAATGCTTATGTTGATTTTTTTAATGTAAGTAATTTGCATTTATGTGAAATCACGCAAACAACGACTGTTTGTACTACTACAACAATGTCTTGCTCTACTACAATCACAAACAGAACATGTTTTGTATCGTCCCAAATAATGTACAAAAGCATGGTAACTTTTGGAAGGAATTTGTCACAATGTTGCATCGTTCTCGGTTGCTCCTAATTGCTCCACGTCTCTCCTTCACTTGGCTCCATCACTTTTGCTTTGGCCTTCCTCTCGGTCGTCTTCCTTTAGGACTTCTCATTAGAACTTGTTTTCGTTTGATTTCTTTCTCTAAACATGCCCAGCCCATCTAATTCTTCATCAATTCAAAATACCTACCTTAATTTAGAGCCACTTGTAGCAAGATATACAGAATGAATATGCATGGTTTGAAATCAAAAGTTTACAAAATTCATGATGTAATCGCAGCATAAGCTAAGGTGAAAATATAAGCACTGTACTGTATATAAAACAAAATTATATGTCTCGAGTCTGCATGTTTCATCAGATATGTGATTGTATCGCAGGAGGTATGCAACATGGTGGCGAAAGCCAGCACGGAGAGCCGAGGCAGTCCTATCAAGATCCGCAGAGGCAGTTCCAGCGTGAGTGTGAGGAAGGACTCGGAGGACGTGTACGCTCCGTGGGAGATGACGGATAGAGAGAGGGAGCTGACCTCCAAGTGTGTCAAGTTGATACAAGGAAGGATCCCTTGCAAGGTAGGAAACTAGAATAAGAAAAACATAAGAATACACAACTAGTTTGAAAAACGGGCTGATTGAAGCGTATTTGTTTTTCTTACGTAGGCTTTTGTGGCTGTTGTCATCTGAGTACATGGTGGTGTTCGGCGTCAACTGTGTTGTCACTAATTAATATACTGTTGCCAGATGTTAAACCCTTATTGTGAAGTGGGGTCCTATGTGGCTAGGCTGAGACTAGAGTTTTTTGAATAGAGTCTAGCTAGATGATATAAAAAAGTCACTTAATTCTTCTTTATGTCCCATCATCCATTAGGACACTAGGCTCTAGGACAAAATAATTTTTCATATTGCTTGGCTAGAGGGTAGTGGCGTTATAACATAGCAAAAACCTATTTGTTATCAGTGGGATTTGAGAGCAGTGTGTATCTTTAAGTCCCTGTACTTTAATTTCCACCAGGCATGGTAGCAAAACTCAATCCATAAAAAAACACAATCTTTAACAACTTAATTAAAGTAAAATTTTTGTTTTCCATCAGTAGTAAAAGTTCTAAAGGTAATCTATACATTTAAATTTGCTGTTATTGTTCTAAAAGAATTTGATAAACTTTCAATAGAAAATCTTATTTTTGTATCCTTTTACTTTATGTGTGTACTTATGTGTTTTTACACATAAAATTAAGTTTGTGTTATAAGACACCACTTCAGGCCTAGTTGTTTTCCAATAAAAATAGTACTTGAACGTATATAGGTAGTAGACTGAGTCATTGCTTCACATAATGCTAGAGAATGGAATTTGGTTAGTTTCCTTGAAAAGTTTATATTTGAAAATAAAACCACCTGACAACGTTATGTCCTTGCCACAGGAACCTGTCAAACACGAGGACGTTTCTCCAGGAGAGGAGATGATGGACATGAACACAAGTGTTATCACTTCTCCAACTACTCATGAGTAAGTAATCTACTACTCTCTAACTCTTACTCTAAATTTAACCAATTAACAAAGCAAGTGTAGTGTTTCAAACTAAATGATTTGTGGTAGCAATTAAACACTGCCCCATCACCCTGCTGTATTCTTTAATTACAGTGTCCAATGGCTTTTTTACAATTTTGTTTGAAAACACAATGTCGTATTTGATCTAAATGATGTGTTTGTCTTTTTTGATTGCTCATCTATAAACCAAGAGCTTTCTTTAGAGACCTCTACCGAGTTTCTACACCCAGCCGTTCTCTCAAATTAGTGGAGACAAAGAAAAACAGTTTCAAATTAATATATAGATTATAGGTAGAATACTTTATGGTCAACAATATTTTCCTACAACTTTATCAGTTCTAGTAATTGTTTCACCATAGACTTCAGGATTGACGTACCTTACATTGTCAATTCTAGGTCTTGGGTGACTAGTTTCTTTTTTGGGAAAATGAATGGATGACTTTTCAAGAAAACTATTGTCATTATCAATAAACAAAAATCCATATTTAGCACACACGAACAATGATTCAAGTCCATGCATGTTTCATTAAACTTTATGTTCTGAAACGTAATTAATTATTTTAATCTGACATTCTTATGTTTTAAGGCAATCATTGGAACCTATAAAAAAAGTTAATAAAACAAAATTAATAAAAAAATTGTCATTCTGTCCCAGTAATCCATTACCAATTTGATAAAGTTGGCTATAGATTTCAGATTCACCCCTTTTAGATTTGGTGTCTTTCTTGTTCGACACTATTCATGTATGTATTTAGTATTTACAGATTTGTATCAAGATCATTTGATTTGATTTGTAACTTCACGAGGTCTATCTCAGTGCTATGCTTAGTAATGAGCAACACCATAGTAATATGAAAATTTTAAAGGGGAGTGGTTTGTCGCTACCTATTTTGCTGACTAACCTTACTTATGTGTTGCAGTGCTCTATCCAAGCTTATCTCGCCGGAGCGTGTGACACGGCCTGCGCTGCCCGAACACCTCAGTCTGCTGACGGAAAGTTGCGTGTCGGGTCAGAGCGTCGCACGCAGTGAGGACCAGACACTCGTGTTGTACGTTCCCGAGGTCGAGGAAATACGCATCAGCCCCGTGGTCGCGCGCAAGGGCTACCTCAACGTACTGGAGCAGAAGACCAACGGATGGAAGAAGCGATGGGTGGTAAGTCGCAACCACTGATTTTATGTTTTCAGCACTCTCACAAGTTCTTCAAGATTAGTTTTATGCAACAAATAGTATGTCGTTACTGTCACATGGTTCAAATGGTGTAGTGATCAGAACACATGAATTGTGAAATGGAGGGCAGGAAAACGGTTCTAGAGAACTTCCTAAGGAATAGCCCAATTATCTGTAATTATGTGATCTTGTATGGTTTGCTAGTTTAAAGTTTGTTAAAAATAGATTAGGCGATACATACTTTTTTTTGTCATATTGAAAAGTAAGTTTATGAATAAGTTTTTGTTCAAAAAGATTCAAAGGTGTAATTAGTAAGAAATAAGTACTATACCTAGTTTGTATTGCTTTTTTGAGAAAATCAAACAAATATGACATCATTAAATCCTTCTTTTCTCCTTGCTATAACTTGAATGTTGCATATGATGAATGTTTGCAGGTGTTTGGTTTGAGTAAATTGTACTATACTCAAAAGATAGCTGACATGTTACATGTTTGTTTGCTATAGACTGTCCGAAGGCCGTATGTGTTTATTTTCCGAGATGAGAAGGACCCTGTAGAGCGAGCCCTCATCAACTTGGCGACAGCTCAGGTCGAGTACTCGGAGGACCAACAGGCCATGGTCAAGGTCCCAAACACATTCAGGTAACAACCAGTTTAAATATTGTGAATACGTTAATGTAGACTGATAATGGCAGAGGGTTGAAAATTGAAGAAGTGATTGCTGTTTCAATAACTGGCTTTTAAAGCATACAGTAAATACTCATCACAATCCCTATGTACTGTTTTCAAAACTGTTGTTAAGTTATTCTTTATTATGATCTCACTTAAAATGTGTCTGATGTTTAGTGGCGATTAAAATTTTAGTTTCTACGATTTCTATCAGAAAGACTTGCAATTTGAATGTTGCATGGAATGGTATGAACCAAGTTTCACTTTCTCAAACACCAAGTAGCCATTGCATTGTTGTTGGCTACTGTATTAATAACTATTAATTTTTCAGTGTGGTTACAAAACATCGCGGTTACCTGATGCAGACTTTGGGAGACAAGGAAGTTCACGACTGGCTCTACGCTATCAACCCACTTCTGGCCGGACAGATCAGGTAAAACAAATAGATAAAAACGTTCTGTCACTACTTTATTGTCTGATTTCAATAATCAGTTGTGCAAATTTACTTTGAAGATAAGGATCTTCTCAAATACAATTTGGGGTGTATGAATATACTAAAGCTAACACTGTTTCTGTGGTATCACAACTGTTAGGATAGTGTACTAAATAATGTCTAGTATTCGAGTAGCTTGATTATTGCCATTCTCACAGTTTGTAGCTGCCTAATCCCATAATAAACAGGTGATCTAATTCATCAAGTAAGTTAACATCGACTGTCTCTCGTATGTAATCTGTTTGGATATTTGACAGTGACACAGACTTCTAAGTATTATTGTAAACAAACAAAAAGTCTTTGTAATCAACAGATATTCCTTTCAAAATGCTATTCTTTTCTACTAATGGAAATATTTTACCAGTGTAAGTAGTAAAAACAGTTTTAGTGAAACATCTTAAAAGAGGTACATATACACACCATAACTAAGAGGTTCCAATATTTCTTGTAAAACCCCTGTTGCTATCGCTAAGGGTATTTCCAAACTAACTTTTTAGAAAAGATTTTGAAGTTTAAATCGTAACCCTAACTTGTTGCAGGTCCAAACTCGCACGACGCCCGACCCTCCCAGTAAACCCCTCCAACCAGACGCCAGAACTCGTCAAGTGATTTCATTCCCTCATCCAACATTACCTAGTTACTCTAGGCTCTCGTCCGAGAGCGTGTTAAGTTGTATTTTGCAGCATTTAAATGTTATGCACAGTATTAATTTTATAAATGTTATTTTGTCACTTATTTTGCTACTGTAGCTATGTATATTGAAAGAATTTGGGTTGTGAACTAGCTTGAGCTTTTGCAAGTTTGAAATGTATATTTATATTTCAGAAAGGTTTTTGTTTTGTAACCGTAACGATAGAACAGATATTGTTTACGTACCAAATCAAACGGGCTGATCTCCAACTGGCTCGACTATTCATGTTAGGTGTAACTTGTCTAGTGTACTTTACTCATTCGTATTGTTGATATTAGATACCGTTTAGTTTTGTTTGCTAAAGAACTCGTGTATTTCTAAAGTGTTAACACCAATTTTATTACAGTTCTGATAATTTCTCGTACTTTCCTTTACGGATGAACCAATGTGGTCTGTACTTGAATTCCTAGTTGTGATTAACTCGTTCTCTCACTGTTCAAGCTGTTTCAAAATATTGTACAATAATCTATATTTGTGACAGTATTTTGGATATCAACATTAGTCGTAAATTGAAAGGTTCTCAACGTATAACAGATTATATTATTTTTAAAGTCTTGTCTTGGGTGATATTATGTTTTCCTGCTCATGATATTTGTGTATAACATTTTCCTGTTAGTAATTTGTTTAGAATTTTCGTTTTGTGTTTTGCCACACCCTAAAAAGTGCAAAATATCTACTTAAAGCCTAAAAGTATGAAATGTATAAACCAAAACTTGGAAAGCAAGACATAAGCTCAATTGCGCTTAAGCCAAATGTAGGAAAGCTTGAATCTACTCACTAGTTTCTTCACTCAATTATTTGAGTTTACAACATTCAAGCTGGATTACAAAGATGTGATTTACTAGTTTATTTGTACCATTTTATTTTCCAAAATTTATTTTAATGCTATCGTTATGTTGTAAAAATTTTTATTTTTATTTTTTGCAGTCCAAAGTAGACTAAAATGATCAAATGAACAGTAGCAATCGTGGCAGAGGGAAATCAACAGTTATTTTATTATCATGGATAAGTTCTAAGGAATGTACAATTAAAACCTTGATTGATGCATTTCAAAATACATTCCACTTTTCCATACATAGTATGGCAAGTCTTTCAAGGGGATTATTTTATTCACTATTGAAGTAGTCAAAGTTTTAAATGAATTATCTATAGTCAGTTCAAGTGTTTACATTATAATTCTTGTTTCTAAATGTTACAGTTTCTTTTTGTACTTTTAAGTGGATACTTTTTTCTGCAGGTTATGCCAATGAACATAAAAAACTGTGCAATCCAAGAAACAACTTCATTTCTAGTCATATTTAAACTCTTATAATTTTTTTTTTAAGATATCAACTTTGTGATGTGTAGGCCTACACAGTCAAATATTTAAAAAAGCAAGAGTTTAAATTATAATCTTTTACTCAAACAAGCAACTGTGTAAATGGGGTGCTTTGGTAATCTAAAGTTCACCCACATTTCACTGAGTTGCTATTTTTCAACTTTTTATAAGATGTTTGCTTTTGGTTTTAATTGTTTATTACTATAATGTATATGTAGGTAGCGAAGCACTACCAAATCTCACCCTCGTATTTTTTTCTGCATAGGAAAGAACGCAATGTGACGGCTGTAGTTTATTTTTATTTGTAATGTTGTGATAAACTCTTTTTGATTATTAGGTTAGTTAAACAAGCTTTAATAATTGTAAATTAATTTATTCAGTGTGCCTCTATCAACTTGTTTGCATCAGGAAATAAACCATGCATTCCATAAGTACATGTGTTATAAAAACGTAAATATTTACTCAAAGTATAAGGTTGTTGTATTAAAATACAATGTGCTTTCGAGTTTTAAGTATTATATCTTAAAACAAAACTACTCTTACCAAAATATAGACGTAAATTGTAATTCTATTTGTATTTTATTTAATTTGTAGTAAAGTATCATTCCATCTTAGTCTGTATTCAAATTACTTCAAAAACTTGAAAAACCAAAGATGTTAAAGATGAACTTTCTTTGCCTAGATAAAATCATTTAGAATTATATGTGAAAAGAGCTACCAGTTTTAGACAAAACTTGCTTTAATATTTCAATATAATCAAATTGTAAGTAATATTTCATGATTTTTAATCTATTTAGACAATATAAATTTTGAAAATTTGATGCGCTATTTTTATATTTAACATAAGGTGTGGCGTATACTAACCTTTTTTAAAAAGTGTACCTTTGAAAAGCTTTTACTTTTCCTCATTAGAAAAGTCTCAAAATATATGTTACTCTTATCTCATTTTCTAACTTAAAATTCCATCAAGATCAATGTTAGTGTGAAATCAATACTGTTATTTTGTTAATGTAACATTGATTATACTCTTGGTCAAGTATGTATTATTTAATCAGATGTAACAATATTTTCTTACTAAAGTGTAACATTCCAGTACTAAAAATTTGCTGTACATTTTCTTTTATTGCGTTATGCAATTTGATGTTATTTTAAATCATTACGGATTAATTGTCTAACCAATTATGGTGCAATTTATTATCAATTTTTGTGATATTTTTTCTAGTCATTTCGTTTTGGTGCCAATCAAATGAAAATTTTAGTTTGGAGTTGTCTCTCAAAATTAGTTTCTCAAATTCTGTGCCATATTATTACCAAGTGACCTTTTATTTGTATTGAGTTAAAAATGGAATCCATATTTTGCCAATATCCATTACCTAATATGATATTCCAGTTCCATTATAATATTTTCCAACTAACATGTAATTAATATCATCAAGATTAATTTCTTGAAAAAAACTTTATATTTCCTAGTAAAATCATTAGTTTTGAATAAAATCGGAACTACAAAATCATTACCAAAAAAAGGTCACTGAAATTGAATCCTTAAGTTTAAATCATAGTTAAATCAATCTCCTATATTTATGTAATTTTTCCTTGTGATTCCTGTACCTAGTTTAATCAGTTGTTAGAAACCAAGTGATTTAGAGAATTTAATTTGTAATATTGTAAATTATTGATACTGCTACAATACTGAAAATATGAATGTATTAAATGAATTCGTCAATAAAAATCAATAAAATTGAGGAGTAATTTTTAACCCATTAAAACTACTTTAATAATTTTGTATTCTGTTAATTTTATACAAGTGATTTATCTCATGACAATTTTAATTTTTGTTTCGGACAGTTATACAGGGTTATTTAAAATTAATGGTGCAAAACTTAACGGTTGGTAGGTGAGGTATCCGTGATTTCAATTAGCTGATTGTTACACCAATGGAAAGGGAGTGTTTATAAGTTAGTTTTGACAAGGTTATGTTTGATCTCAGTTACTTAATTGAGTACCACAAAGCCTGTCAACAAAATCTAAGAATATCAGTAAGATTTGAAGCTATCATGGCAAAAATCTGTGCGTTTTGGTTTGTCAGTAGACTTTAATGCTTATAATAACTGCAGTTTGTATAGATTTTGTTTCAAACGCTTGCGTAAACCCGTGGCCTGCGGTATGTTAAGTTCCTTACCAGCTTTGACTGTTGAGGTTTTTTTTTGGACTCCGCACAAACTTAGCTTCGATTCTCTCCACAGCGTCTGGCGGAGTCTGAGTCCACGGTGTCTGACGGCACAAACTCTTACCAGCATAAAAAACATCCAATTGCCTTGAATACCTCAACCAACGAGCGTTGCAGTTCCTATGTTGAGCCTTCTTCCTAAATTTGGTTCTACTGAACACTAACAATAACATTAGTACAAATAAACCCTAAAATACAAAATGCATTTTCTTGTTTTGGAGAAGACTTTGTTGGCAGGCTTCGTGGTACTCAACTAAGCAACTGAGACAAAACCTAACCTTGTCAAAACAAACTTAGTAACACACCCTTTCCATTGTTGTAACCATCGGCTGTTTGAAATCACGAAAACGGACATACCAACTGTTAAGTTTTGCACCATTCTTTTTAAATAACCCTGTATATCCTGTATATTGTTTACCCATTTAGTTAATTGATGAATTATGATTATTGGATTCAAAATATAACAAATTAATATGGATAATGTTAAGGTACATTCAATAAATTAACTTTGCCTGTTGAAATAAAGAATTTTCATTTCACTAAATTATCTATTTAGTTTTTTAACAATCACAAAGGTACAGCTTGTACGATATCATATAAAAGAACAAGTTGTACAAACTCTTTTATTTTTTTCTCTTCTCAGTTTGTTAAATAGATCTCAGTGAGATTGAAGAAGGTCTTTCCTATAAAAGTTTTCTTAGTTTTACATGAAGTCTTTCAATTTATAATGTTTCATTTAACAAAATACATGACCATTAAAAGTACATGTACATCAAGTATGTAAATATTATAATAATTTTAAATGTGAACGTAGTAAAAGGCCCATTGATTAATTTTGTTTTCATGTTTTTCTGTGTTTGTTGATGATCATTTCTGAGGAGATTCTCGCCTATCCGAGCTTCCTTGTGAAGTATTTAGTGGAGAGTTCTGTCTTTCCCGTTGTTTACTGGCATTGAAGGATCGTTCACTTGCCATATTGTAAACTGTAATCAAAGGTTAAAGATTTAAAAGTATCACGAGGGTTTCACTTATTGAGGAGTACTTTATTATTTTTGTATGTTAACTTTTAACTTTGATAACAGGCCTATTATTTAAAAATAATTAAAGATTCTTTGCACCAATAATGTTAATTTTTTATATCGTCTGAAGTTCGTGTTCGTTGTTGTTGTTTATGTAACAACACTTGTATAGAATACAGAGTTTAAGAATATAGTGTAATTTTCTGAAGTTGTAAAGCCGGAGGCCATCTTCTCTTACTCAAGAACTAATACAGTTTTTTATCATACAAATTATTAAAAAATACTAAAAGTCAATAATAAAAACCTGCATAACTTTCCACTTTCTAGAACTACGTCGACGAAACACAAACAGCATTACAAGATCAGTTTCGTACTCCAGTTGGCCTAGTCCTCCGTGACCTACTACAGCGTATACGAAGCATCCCCTGGGTGGCGGATGGTGGTCGATAGATCTATCGGTAGTCCTCTTGGCAAGGTCTGACAGACCCACTAGCCCTGAGTAGGAGTGGCCCTCCACACATATTGGAGGTTGAGTATAGGGCTAACAATCCTATCCTATCAAAATGCCTTGAAAATGGATAGATAAATAGATTTAGACCCAAGCTTGGGTTTGGACCCAGAAGGGCTTGGGAATTAAACATGAAAACACTGGCAGTGGAAGGCAAGGTGGATATTGTGAAAAGAGCTAGCTGCATTCAGAGTTTATGTGGCTGCACTTCAAGAAACAAAAAGGCCTTTCTGAGGAAAAATCAATACAAAAAAGTTACCATACATTATATATTGGCTGTGATTACTGTTGCAGACTCCTATCCTGAAGTAGGTTTTGTAATAAAAAAATCTGTTTTAAAATCTAGTCTTACCAGATGGACTGTCATTCTCTTCAATATCATAGTATTCATTGCCCTCTTCCCAGAAGCGAACCTTGATATTAGTTTTACGAGGTCTCAAAGGTCCTGTCAACCACTCACGATTTGCCTCTTCGGCCTTTTCTAAGTGAATGTACGGGTCATCCACCGGCAACATATCTGCACCATATGGCTCACCAGGATTTAGATCTGAAAAAGTTGGGATCCCTTAATCTTATTCAATAAGAAACATTGTCAAGTTATCATGATAAATTTTGTATTTGTAGATTTTTAGGTTAAGTGAGTATATTTTGATGCTGAAAAAGTGTTCATATGTTTTATTGTTCTTTAGTTTTTTCAGTGTCTTTGCCAGTGGCGTTTTCAATAAAAGTACTGTATATCTCTCAATGCTTTCAAGGGAAGGTGGTGTGAACCCCATATTGCACCAAAGAATAAAACGCTAACCACTAGGCTACCAACTCCCCTATAGATAGAGTTAGCATACTCAAAAAGTCAGTTTTTTTTTTAATTGTAATTTTTAATTGCCAGTGTTTTTTAAATTGATATTGCAAAGTCAAGGTCCTCCAGATGCTCTCTCAGCCCCCAATGCACTCCCCTTTGCCTGTTACGCGTGGCTTTCCTCATCAGTCATCACTGAGTCCAACACCAAAAGGAAGAAGATCAGGAGCATATAGTCACAGCGGAAGGAGGAGCAAAAGAGGATTTTTATTCAACTATACCCTCTCTGGCGAAATAGAAATTTATTGGCCAGGACAAACATCCTCATTTTTAACTCTTGTGTCAAATCCGTCCTCCTGTATGCCACCGAGACTTGAAAGATGGACAGAAATAGTACCTCACAGCTCCAAGTTTCTGTTAGCAGATGCCTGCGGCGAATATTAAAAGAGTGTTCTGGCCAAACACTATCTCAAATGAGCAGCTATGGGAATGCACAGGTCAACAAAAGATAGACTTAGAGATTCGAAGGAAGAAGTGGAGGTGGCTAGGACACACCCTTCGAAATCCCAACACTGCCATTGAGACTAAGGCGTTAGAGTGGAACCCGCAAGGGACACGAAAGAGAGGAATACCTTGCGGCACCTGGAGAAGAACAGTGGAGAAAGAGGCTGTGAGCATAGGAAGAACTTGGGATCAGCTGAGACCTGGCACAAGATAGGGTTGGCTGGCAAGCTCTTCTGGACATGCTCCTAGCAAGGAGCTACAGGAGATACCTAATTCAAGTGAGTCAAGTCATTGCTGATACCTATCGCGTTTTAATCTTCTACAAGAAGGATATAATTTAAGCATGTCGTCTATGTATTAAATGACGACTTGAATAGTTTGTTTACAGTTCAGAGACCATTATATTCACTGAATGCAACTATGAAAAGGCAGTTACATTGGTTAAACATTTATATATAAATTTTAAAATAATAAAGTAATAAATATTGTAAACAGTTTCCCTTCCACCTTGGTTATTAATATTGCATGAAAAGTACCCTATACAATACATCCATATGGATGTCAAAATGAGGTAATTACATCAGAAAGTAAAAAGTCTCAAAATTTACATGGTAGTAAATTCTCTATTTAGGAATAGGGAATACTTTTACATTTTAACCAAATAATGATTTAGTACGACATATCAGTATGCATCTAGGGTCACGAGTGAAACTGTGCTCATACTCTTCCCAGTTCTTAATTCATGTATCCAAATAGTCCACTCCGGGCTGCAACCAACTAAAACTTAGTCGGTTTCTACAGAATTTGTTGAATTTACATATCGTCCTGTAACTTTAATAGAATATATACCTAATACTTATATGTGCTGGACTATAATGTTTTCCTGAACAACTGGGCCAAGTTTAAGCCACCTGTATGAGTTCAGGGTCTCACTAGAGGAGGGTACATACATTACTAGCTGGAACACCCACAAATATTATTTTCCTGTTTACGAAGTTGATCTACCTCAAGACCTACTACTTACAAAGTTCACCATCGATTTCCAAATCGTCATCTGAAAAATCCGGATCGGATTCTGGATTGAAGGTGTGGGAAGACTGGGTGGGATAGGAATGACCCCTACCATGGATATGATCCGTGGATGAATTACTTCCATAATGTCCACCTTGGATCTCATTATGTCCACTTTCATTTCCATGAAGTCCTCCTAGACTTCCATGATGTTCTCCTAGACTTCCATGATGTCCTCCTTGACTCCCATGATGCCCTGCTTGCCCGCTTTGACCCCTGTTGTATCCATCTCCTTGATGATTGCCAGCATTATTCTGATTGGAAAAACCACCTCCTCCACTTCCCTTCATGGTGATGTTTATGGTTCAATTTACATGCAAAAATCAAGATGAATTATAAATTTAATATTTTGGTGTTGAACAGGTTATAAATTACTCTTCTATTTTGACAGTGTTCTGTTTTCACATAATGTTTGCCCATGTGATTTTTTATTTTAGAGAACCAACAGAAGGGGGTAAATAGTTCTAAATGATGATAGTTAAACAATTTCAATTTTCATTTCTTATAGATACAGGGTGTTTTTTAAACGCAACCCAAATTACAAATACTGTACCTGAAGGAAAACACTGTTTAACGACAAAACAAGCTCACATTTTGGTATCCCTGTATTCTTTATTTCATTGCTAATCAGCTGATATGAATTGTTATCTATGAGTTTTAGTGTTATTGGGAATATGGGAATTTATTGTGAATAAGCCTTAGCTTGGGGTTTGAGCTTACAAAAAGACAACATATTACCATAGATAAAACATATTACGTATTATTTATAAAATTATCAATAACAATAACACTAAGCCTCACAGATAACTTGCACAATGCATATATCAAACGATGTATGTAAATCGACAATGATGTAAAGAACAGGGATACCATCATATGAGATGGTTTTGTGTCTCTCGGTGGTAGTTGTGATTATTTGGGTTGCGTAAATAAAAGCACTCTTTATTGTCTAATGCACAGTATATTGAGGAAAATCAAATAATAAATTTCTATTCTTCAGTCAGATTGTTTAAGGATTTTGTGCGTTTTTTAGCGAATTTCCCATATAGGGAATATGCTATTACCGCTAGTACTCATGGTACGACCTTGACCCGGGGCCAATTTACTTTTTCGTTTTGAGATGCCCAGAGGCCAAAAACACCTTCCGTTCAATTTCATATATACAGGGTGTTTTTTTAAAAACTATCTTTATTTATGTAAAAACCGCAATAGATAGAAATATGCAGTTTGTGGGAATCATCTATTGACGTAGGGGGCCCAATTGTTTTGAATTCAACTTACATTCACATTCCCCCCTCTCCCCCCCTGCCCACAACTTAATTTTTTTTAATAGCAAGGTACCCCTTGTGACATATCAAATGAAAGAGCATGAAAAAAGAAATTGTTTGATGAAAAAAAATTGAAAATCGGTTCATAAATTTGCGAGAAATTTCCCCCCCCCCTCCCCGGAACTTAATTTTTTTTAATAGCAAGGTACCCCTTACGACATATCAAATGAAAGAGCATGACAAATGTTTGGTGAAATTTATTTTTCATTTGATATGTCACAAGGGCGGGTACCTTGCTATTAAAAAACAAGTTATGGGTAGGTGGAAAGGGGGGGGGGGATTATCTCACAAATTCATGAGCCGATTTTAATTTTTTTTTTCACCAAACATTTTCTTTTTTCATGCTCTTTCATTTGATATGTCACAAGGGGTACCTTGCTATTAAAAAAAAATTAAGTTCCGGGGGGAATATCTCTCACATTTATGAACCGATTTTCAATTTTTTTTCATCAAACATTTTCTTTTTTTATGCTCTTTTATTTGATATGTCACAAAGGGGTACCTTGCTATTTAAAAAAATTAAGTTGGGGGCAGGGGGGAAAAGGGGGGGAATGGAATGTAACGTTGAATTCAAAAAAATTGTGCCCCCTACGTCAATAGATGATTACCACCAACTGCATATTTCTATCTATTGCGGTTTTTACATAAATAAAGATGCAAGTTTTTAAAAAAACACCCTGTATATAAATATAATATATTTATATTTTATATTTATATTTAATATTATATTTATATACAAATATGTGTCCCTTAATGCGATAACTTGAGCAAAAATGATCCAATTTTGATGAAATTTTGTAGAAACGTGTAAACCTACCTTTATTCAAACGAGTTTGCGAATCAGCATGATCGGACTATGTGAACCCCCGTTAATAGGGGGTTTTATTGGGTAAAAGTTGGGTTTTCCCATTTTTTACTCTAAAAACGTAGAATTTCACAATTTCTTTCCAGATCATTTTGTAGAGCTTAAAACAAAAAATAATTGTGTATATTGAAGCGTTGTTGTATGCCTAACGGTTACGGAGATAATTTTAAAAAACTTTAAATTTAAAATCCCCATGTTATATTCTTTTGGAGAATAAATAAACTGTTGTAGTTTGATTGTTTATGGATATATTTTAATCAAATTTGGCAATTTTGTTTATTTCATACTAAGCTATCAACATTTTAATAAAAACACACCTCAATACCTTCCCTGTAGCAGCAAACCTACTCATTAAAAATAATGTTATTTAAATAGGAATTATGACAATTTTCAGGGTATATTTTAGTAGAAATTCAGCCAGGTAAATGGAAATTCGCTTAGTTTGCAGGATTGCCGCAGCGGGGGAATATTTAACTTTACTTTACTCCTTTTTTTGTGTGCAAAATGTATCACTCAGAAAATTACAAAAAAAGATTGAACTAGGCCTATATATTTTGTTTTATTTTACTATTATTATTAAAAAAAAAATGTTACAAAACTAAAATAGTTATCTTTTAAAGATAACATTTCAAATCTACTTCCAACATTTATAAATTTAATTTCTAACACAAACAAGCAGCTGTAAGTGAACATTTAACTATCGGAACAATTTAAAAGAAGGCAACAATGAGCTACAATCGATCAAAACCTACATAGCCAAAGTCAGTACATACCTACAAAGTCGATACATAGCCTACTCTCGATACATGCAATTGTTTACTATCTAATTTACAAGTTTACAACTGAGATGCCATCAGCTGATTTTTACTACCTACGGCGAAAAAGATCTGCTTTAGATTCGGGCAATGCATGGCGTGTTAAAAACTAGGAGAAAAACAGCTGTTTTACTGCAGTATGCCGAAAACATCTATAGATCTACTGTATATAGTTTTCATCATACTGCAGAAAAAAAACAGCTGTTTTAATGCATGCGTTGCCGTACTAAAGTAGTACTATTTTTACTCTCTATGAATTAAAAAAGTTTTCAGCCCCTAGGGAGTAAAAATCAGCTCTTGTCAACGTCAACGACAACTCAGTTGTAAATTTCGATTGTAAACAATCGCTTGTATCAAAATTATATATCGATTGTTTAATCGATTTAGCTTATTGTTGCCTTATTGTGGACTTCGACGTATCGATAGTATAATTTACACTAACACAATCGTAATAGACTAAACCATTGAACCTTTTACTAAACAGCTGCTTAATTGTTTTAGCAAAATTAAATTGAAAACGAGTTAAAAGTAGTTTTGGGAGGTTATCTTTCAAATAAACCCAATCTTAGTTTTGTAACATACTTTGTTTAAATTAATGGTACAATATGACAAAAAATATAGTTCATTACACGGGCAAAAAGTGTCTTTACAACCCTTCGCTCATTTCCGTAAAACTTGAGCTCAGGGCTCAGGTTGAATGTTGAAACTAGTCACTTTACGCATTTGTCAGTGGAGTGGAATTTATACAAGCTCAATAATAACTCAACAACTCATTTATTTAGCTACATTGACATTACAAATGTATTAGGCAAGTCAAATTTACCAAAAATAACTATTAACTAACTTTTATAATCTATCTATCTATATATTAATAGGCAAGCATGTTTCTTTAAAACATTTTTTCTCAGCTCGTGTGCATCGCAGGGAAAATCTACGCACACTGTTATATTATATTGTAGATATTATCCTGTAGAAGTGCAGAATCCCTTAAAAAATTATAATAGGCTCAAATATAAACACGAAAAATGGATTTGAAATTTAAAAAAATTAACATGGGCTTTATGGGCTGCCATGGGTGACGAAATGAAATAACAACGAAATATAAACAGAAAATCAAAACAAATGGAAGAAATTACAATCACATGTTTTATTTATATACAGCGTGAGGTGAAAATAGAGAAGCCTGTACTTTTACATTCCATCTCCAAGTTAAAGTTGTCACCAGTTTTTTCTTTAAATTCGTCGTAGTTGATGTGAGCCACCAACAGATTGCGCTGATCTAAATGACTAATATCTGTAGAATACAGGATGTTTTTTACCCAGTCAACCTTATGGAATGACTTATTATGATGAGTTATGGAGTATGTTTTATCTATGGTTATAGCAACTGTTGACCCATCAACTTTGTCAGCAACAAAAAATAAGAAATAAAAAATTAATTTAAGACACGCATTCGGTAACTGGCTCACACAACTACATGTAAAAAAAATATGGCGACAGCTGGTTTATATAGATGGGGTGTCTACTTCAGTACCCAATAGTCAATACGTGTACATTACATGTGTCTGGTCGAGTTTTCGACCACTGGACGACAACTAGTATTAATTAAAATTAAAATTCATGAGGACTGTCCGTCAGCGAGAAAGCACATTAGAAATACAAAACAAAAGGAAAGTAACAATCGGATTAAACCGTTAAGCATAATCTATACTTCTATACTATTATATAAAAATCTAGTGGTGTCTGTATGTGTATTACTATTAGGCGCATAAACTACTGAACTGACTGGGCTTAAATTTTACAAAAATATAGCTACCATACCAAGGACCATTATAGGACTATTCACACTTCGATACTGACTGTGGGCTTTGCCCCTTTGGCTTTAAATGATCTAAGGTGAGGATTTTAAAAGTAAATATTGATTGGTCTCCATGGCTGCAATGAGAATCCTCAAAATGTTTACATTTGCTTGGACATTTCAATGTAAACAAGAAGAACTGCCAAATTGCATATTTCACAATTTAAGACAGCTGATCCAATGAAATTAAATATAATATTACACACAATTATATAGTTGGTTTATTTAATCAAAAAAATTATCAAAGATCATTTATTCAAAAACGATGTCATTGATTATAGAAATAAAAATAAAACATTCCAAAAGCGTTGCTGTATAAACTCAGGCTGTTTTGCTTTCAATTTTTAAAGTGTCTTAAGTGTTATGAAAATAACGTTATTGATATATTCTCATGGAAACAGTAAGAAAATTACAATGTATAAATGTTTTGCATGTATTTGGAGGCTACTTTAAATAAATTCGAACTGCTTAACATATGTTAGATAAACTTAACATAACTTGCACATCACATTTTTTATATGTATATTTAGGCTAGGTAAATTTAGT